AATCCATGGTAAGATTTTTAAGACGCTCTTCTAAGACTTAATGGATCAGAAATAATGAGTAATTACTTGCTTAATATTAATATACATATATAAAGACATAACCAAGTAACTGATTATTTACAAGAATATCTGCTTATTACATGGCTTAGGCCCACTCAAAAGCAATGAAAAATTTCCTAGAAAATCATGGATGATAATAGGCTCAAGATCCTAAGGGACTTCCTATTTAGAGAAATAAACAAATATTGAACAATTAACCAGATACCATGGTAGTAGATAAGAAGGACTCTCTGGTGAGTGGGTCTAATAGGAAGTAGAGTCATGCAAACTCTCAATAGTGCCTGCTGTTAGAAAAGAAGAAATATAATCGATGCGATTCGTTGATAAGTTAGATAAAAGTAGCTAAACGATGAAAATGAACGCAAACGTTCCTTGACCGATTTTCGTCAGTTTTTCATAATTGCTTACATCGTTCATATAATTAAATTTCCACATATGCAGTTAATTTGGGAGTTATAAAATATTAAAAATGTTGAAAAAACTTTTAGCAAATATTAGAGAAAACCTGAAATTTTCAAGCACGAAATATAGAAAGAAAAATTTTGTAAAAAATTTGAACAATTTAAATTTAACCAAAGAACCTCTAAAAAATAACTAGTAAAAATAACTAGTAAATGTTGAAAAATCTCTCGGAATATCCAGCAAAATTGGCTAAATTTATTATAATGACATTTTATAACAAAAACTTTAAGATTCTTTTAACTTAACTTTAAGAATTTTTCACCCACAAGGCATTCGTTTGTGCAATTTCTTTTTCAATTGGCACACGACTGCGAATCTCACTTCCAAGTACTGGTGGAGGCGAGAACCGCTTGGTCGGCACCATTTTGGTGAAAAAAACTGGCCATCTCCAAAATATAATTAAGAAAATCAGAAAAGCGGTTTAAACAATTCGATCATTTTTCTGCAAATAAAAATTTGCCAAGAAAATGTGAAAATATTTTAATATTTTCTTTTATATTTTAAATTAACTCAGACGATAATGCATTAAAAAAATAGAATACAGTCCAAAAGAAGAGTCTCCATTATGTTTTGCTTCGAGTAAGAGGAATGCTAAGCCATTTTAGATTAGATTTCCTATCTACTGAAGTAAACTTGTAACAAAAAGTGGAATCGCGATTGTGCAACCCACCTGTATCTGTTTGCATGTGACTTTAGGCCGATATCAAATTTTTTCAAATTAATTGATGGAAAAAACTTTAAAAAATGATAACTTAATTCGAAAAAATAAATATTTCAATTCAGAAAAAAATTATTTGAGAAATAATTTGTAAAAATCTTGATTCTAAAAAATTCCAATCATAACTTACGAAATATTCTTAATCATCGCTGAATTGTGGTGAAATCGCAAGAATAATGGAAAGAACTATCAGGCAATGAAAAAATGCATGGACCAGGCAGATGATTAAGACCTAAGAAAAAAGCCACTCTTAGAAGAAAAACATCTATGAATCTTTAGGGTCAAGCCAAAAACATTCAAAATCAACATTAGATGAATTTCGGATGAATAATAAAGGGCAAAAAGATTGAATTTAGAAAATTGCATTATATTTTTAACTATAATGAAAAGGCTTATAAAAAGGCTCTTAGCTACAATAAATATAATTGAAAGGGATTATGAGACACAAGGAAAAAGATTTTGCAGAAAAATTTCTGCAATTTCATATTGTTACTTATAATTAGGCGGTTGACGTTCACTATTTCTGGCCAGGTTAGCTCCGCTAGTTATTAATGAGGTTATTACAAATTCTTACCGATCTTCTAAGATAAATATTTAAATATTTATGCGAAGGATTTTCTCAAGACAATAATGAAATTTTAATATTCAGATCATGTATGAAGGCCAATACATTCCACACGATAAATCCATAGTACACAGAACAATAAATTTCGAACTTAACGAAAAATCGTCGATTTTCCTGGAAACCAATAATTCAACTTTAGTTTAAGGATATCCGATTGAATAGTGATGCAGGCGTTGATTGACAGCGCTTGACTATTGCCTCAGAGTAGATCTCTCTAATCTAGATGGTGCTTGCAGTCCAACTGAAGTTGATTCTTGGTTTACCGCCAAGTGAAATTTCTCTCTGAAATTTCTCTGAAACCGTACTGGCGCTTCTAACCTTACTAGAAATAATGAACCCCAACCACTTTCTTTAAATGGCGAAATTTCTTCTCCTAAAAGCTTTCACCATCACTGGTTAGGCTGGTTCCATTGGCAAGGCTCCAAGGCGGTCTCATGCCATCGTCGACAGTAATGGAAGCCATTCCTTCTTCCATCGTCTAAGTCCATATATTGCTGGTTCACCTATACATTCAAAATCTTTTCTCACCATATCAATCCAGGTCTTGATTGGCTCACCTCGCTTTTGACGCCACCTATCACATGGTTTAGCAAATAACGAAATATGCGGCAACTCTTGTGGTGGATGACGGAGAATGTGCCCTAACAAGCGAAGGCGACGCTCTGTGATAACATGATTAACGCAAGTGGTATTTGAACGAAGGTGAATGCGATCATGTGCGAATTTATCTGCAATATATACCTTAGACAAGAGTGTCAGAGAACTCCAAAGGCAGAGAACTTCTTAATATCCTTTACTCTTATTGGCGACGCTTTAGAACCATATAGCATTGAACGGATCAGGACGGACTTTTGTTTTTATGCTGATTTATAAAGTTCCGGTTCCATAAAGTTCCATAAAGTTTTCGTCAACCGGAAGAACGCAGTCTTCTAGCTGCCGTGATTCAGGTTATAATATCTTTTCTTACCTAGCCATTTGGTACTAAAGTGGACCCAAGGTACTTAAAACCTTCCACAACCATGAATTTACAAAAAGAGGCATTTTATCATCTTATTGCCATAACGCGAAAAGGTTTTCATTTTATTTATATTTTGAGTTCGATTTTTAGCGATAGTGTAATGCAGAAAAGTGCTAATAACTTCTCATCCTATCGGCTAAGCTATCATTATCACTATCGTCTTCATATCAGTTAATAGTTTTCCAATATTTTTTATTCTTTCAGCACCATTAAATTTAGTCGCCGCTCCTATTAAATGTTATTTGACAGATATTACTTTTCTAAGAAATGTTTATAAAAGGTTTTCTTTTTCAAGAATGTTTTTTTGATGTGAATGCAGTGTCATTTCTCTGAAAAGAGCAAGCGAGAAATCTTTTCTGATAATTATTTAATGGTGCAGCATTATGCACATTTAGCTACGTTTAAAATTCGTCCATTAGTCCATTAATGCAACTTGCAATATCTGAGGAATTCATCAAGTAATATAATATAAATGCAGCAACAAGTAATAAAAAGCAAAGTATATCCGAAATCAGTGAATGCGTCAAAGGTGTTTCAAAAATGGTGATTACAATTTAGGACAATTTTACAATCTAAAATCTTTCAAAATTTTTTCTGCGATTTTGCGCACTTCCCGGTCGAAGTTAATCTAAAGTAACATTGAATGACATGATTAAAAAACAAGTTATGATGGCTAAAACAATATTACCTTCAAGAATCGGGAACAAGTCCAGTGCTTGGTTCCACACCAACTTGTCGAAAAGCACTCACTTAAATGGTCATAAGTTTTTGGAAAAGGGAAAAAATTTTAAAGTTACTTTTGATGCTCCTCGATAATCCTAAATACCAGTGGCTGTTAGCTGAATAAATACTAAACCTAAATCTGACATTTACGGCAGAAAAGTACGTAGTGTGTGGTGAAAAAGAATCCTTTGTAAATAATTGACGAAGGAATTCAATAATAGAGCGAAATATAATGTGGCATTTGGGAATTTACGAGACTTCGAAAGGTGTCAACAATTCAAAGATATTCCAAGGTTTTATGAAAGTAAACCGAATTCTGAAAGGTTTAAGAACGATCTAAAAGGATAAAAGAATATTTACGAGAAAACATTAGGGGAAAAAATGGAGATAGTTTGGAAGCGAAGTCATAGAGGAAAGTGATCAACAATATTTTGACAAAATTTAGCCAGTTTTTTTTTTAGGATACACTAAAAAGGATAAACTATACCGCAAATTATTCTATACCGTCTTCTCGGTTAAGGTGCGCTTTTCTCACCAAAAAAGCAATGGTGCCAAGCAAAAAACATTATGACATTATAGAGCCAAAGTAGTTTCTTTTTAAAATATTTTCCATTATCTTTTCACGAATCTATGAAACATTTAAAAGATCCTTAATTAATTCAATTTGCATTCTATCCTACCTTAACGAACTTGAAAAGAAAGCCTCCAAGAAGTTATTTGCCAGTTTGATATTTGAATTAACTTTTACTGAAAATTAGCTTAAAGTTGAAATTGCTAATCTTATTTAAATATAAATGAACCGTCAACCCACCGGACCATTTCAGTTATAGAAGTTATTCCGATAATTTCTCGGCTGATAAATGACAATTGATAAATGCTCTAATCTATATTTGATAACTGATAACTGATATTTGTCTTTTCTCGAATTTTCTTCAATGAAGTTCTCAATTACATTTCATTATAATATTTTTCTTGAAAGTATAAAATACTACACATCAAGAGGAGATTACTTGTTTATTCGTAATAAAAAATAAAAGAATAAATTAAATAAATTAAATACATAATAAGAGAAATCAACCGTTAAAAAATTATTTATAACAATTTATCTATCAAACTAATCTTCATACAATAAAAGAAAGGAGAAACTTCGCCTTGTTCTTGAGCATAAAAACAGAACTTTTATGAGCAGAAGATTAAAATTAATACAACCAAAAAGATTTTAAAATACCCAAAGAAGGACGACAGATTTTCGTCAAATGAGGAATATTTTGAACAAAATAAATTTAATTCTATCAGTGAATCCAAAAAATAAAATATCCATAAATGTCCAAACCATTCAATGTTCAAATGTTCATACTCAAAACAAGAACACGCAGAAATTTTGTTCACCTTTCTTAAAAAACTAAATCCATGAATTGTCCTTGATTAGAAGCGTTTGGTGCACGTGGATTTTGACGTTGGCCGTGACCACCACGTCCGCGACCTGTATGAGCACCACGACCAGCCGTGTATTCAAAAAGATTTGTCTAAAAAAGTATAATAATATAAAACTGTGAATTCTTGCGAACTTAAGAAAAAATAATGTAATAAAAAGAAAGACTTAACAAAATAAAAAGACTTCATCCAAGCCTTCCGATCCGACATTAAATGTGAAATTATACGATATCTTTCAATTGCCAATAGATGCTTTTAACCTCTAGCTCTATTAATTTTAATATTTTATTTATTTCATATTTAATTCATATTTATTTCATATTTAATTATGGATGAAAATCAAATGATTTATTTTTAACTAACCGTTATTGTACTCATCAAGTCGCGGACGTCAGGTGTAGGCAATGGTGGAGTAAAAAAAAATGCATGATCAAGTGCTTGTTCAGCACTTAGACGTGATGCGGGATCAAGTACCAATAAACTGTCAATAAGATTTAAGGCGCTTCTATCCTAAAAGAGAAAATTATTAACAATATTGCGATACTCATTACTATTAAAAAATAATTGAAATTCCAATCTAAAGAAATGATACAAATTCAAAATGTTTAATATGTACAGACACTGACGATCTGTTGCTCTCACAAAATGAAATACAAACCCTAACATAGGCTTCCAGCCTTTCAACCAAGCGACGAGGACAATTCTGTGGCAATTCCAGTCGCGTATATAAAGGAAGATTTTCGACTCCACGCCATGACTGTGCATTAATACTCCCGCAAAGGTAAGAAATAAGGAACAACTGTTTTTGTTCACTTTCACCCTTAAAATCGAGAAATTTAAACTAACACAGAGAGAAAAACAAAATTTTATTAATTTCATGTAAGTAATCATTAGAAAAAATATAAGTTAGAAGATACCTCAGCCAAATAAAAACAAACAAATAATGAATTAAAGAAACAAACTATTTTACAAAATAATTCAGTTAAAAAAGGCGATACAAATATTAAATGTTAATTAATTAAATAATTCTAATTCTAACTTGCAAACCTGCAAAATAGGGGTCCGTGTCCACAGTTCAGCCATAATGCATCCAGCACCCCACATATCGATCTGTGGTCCATAGTGACGCTCCCCAAGTAAAAGTTCTGGAGGACGATACCAAAGAGTAACAACGCGGTTTGTATAGCAACGTTCAGGTTGACCTGTGAATTAATAATTATATTTACAAGCATAAGCCATCCATAGAAAAAAGCGGAAAGAGCTGAGAGAAACAATCGATCAAAGAGCAACGATCAAAAATCTCGCAATAAAAAATAATGAGACCACCGATGCAATATAATAAATTGCTAAAAAATCATACAAAATAATCTTACAATCTTATTAACCATATGATCCATATAGAAAGAAATAATAACCACTGGGATAAAATTTATGGAACTAAAATTATTCGCAAATTTTCTGAAATGAAAGGAAAGATGAGAAAAAGAATAAGGGAAGAAATTATCATGATAAAATTGGTGGTGTAAATATAAAATTCTTTTTTTCATGATTTCCCTTAAGTTCTGTAAAAAACTGAACGTTTGTAATATTACCTGGTATTTTTGTGAATAATGGTCTAGCCAATCCAAAGTCGGCCAATTTGAGTATACCATCTTTTGTAATCAGAACATTAGCAGCCTTAATAGGAACATTTATCAAAATTACACGTTAATAAAATATCTTTTTGATGAAATAATTCTTTCTAAATAAGACCCACCATGGAATCTAAAACAGAACATGGCGTTTCTACAATAATGAGACCACCGATCCAATATAATTTTTTGTGAAATCTTTATTTTTTTCGTAACTTTTCCCATATTCTATTTGATTCTAATTTTTTGAACCAGTTAACCCAGCAATCCTTCTATATCCTAATCAAGCGAATTATTAAGAAACCAAAAAAATTATTACTTTCATATCTCGATGCAATATTTTTGCATAATGGATTTGATATAAGCCTTCTAGTAGATGTTTCATGAGCGTTTTGGCATGAACAAGTGTTATTCTAACATTTGAATTCGACAATAAACCAGCCAAATCATGATCACAAAAAGCAAACACCAAGTAAAATGTAGTGCGTTCCCGATTTCTTGGAGACGCTAAAACCGTATAAATTCAAAAAAAATGTTTCTAAAAAAAATTTTGATGGTTCTAATCTCCTCAAATCTAAATACTCATTCTCGTTTTTCCTTAAAAATTTAATTTATTTTGACTCAAATTTATTCAAGCAATTCAGAGTACTAATCACGGCAAAATTAAATTACATCTATCACTGCAAATTTCGATTAGTTCAGTAATATGCTTGTGTTTCAATTTTTGAAGCATTTTAACTTCTCGTAAAGCTGTGATTGGAAACTGAAACCTTTTCAAAATGTATAATAAATAAAATACATTACAGATAAAAAAATAAAAAAAACCCTGTTCTCACTCTATATGAGTTGTGCGGCCCATCCTCAACCTTAGGTTCTCTACCAAACGGTAAGGAGCTATAGGGTTCTATGTACTGCTTTATCTACGCGATTTCTGGAAAGAGATTTTTGATGTTATTCCTAGAATCTACTGCAGCCACTTTTCTAACTTAGAGTTTTCTAACTTTAGATCTCAGGACCCACCATCATGATTTCATTTTCCACATTTTCCCCAGTTCCTCCCTGGTATTTTTTTAAATTTTCGTATATATATATATAATATATATTTATAATAAAAATTAATAAAATTAAGATTAATACTCCTTCTTTTTCATTTTCCATTAATATCTTTTTTAAGGCAACTATTCGTTTAGTTTCCCGACACTGCGCTTTAAAAACTTCACTGAAAACATTTTTAAAAATCACATAGGTTTCAAAGTAGCTCGGTAATTTATGAACAAAAAGAAACGAAATTTTTCATTTCTCCCGAAATACATTTTTTTCCATGTTATACTTATTTTATTCATATTTTTAAGAAACTATTTCATTTTATATTATTTTTACCATTTTTCGTACCTGAATTTTTTTCCTACTATCTATTTATACTTTATTAAGGTCGAGGCTCCCTAGGTCCTGCTGATATTTTTTCAAATAAATAAGTAAAATACAAATTTGACAAATTTGATGATAAACACTTTGCCGACTATAAATAAAAGTGGTGAAATAAAATGAAAAATAACCCAAATGTTCCTTGACCAATTTTAGTCAATTTTTCATACTTACTTACATCATTCATATATGGAAATTTGAAACTGTCCACATATTGAATTAATTCAGGAGTCACCTGAAATATTAAGAAATATTTTATAATATTAAATATATTGAGCAATATAACTTACTGAAATTTAAATAATCCCAATAATTAAATTGTGAATTTTTATCCAAAAATCATCGAAGAATTTCTTATTAATGAATTTTTTTAATTTTTCCGCAATATTTTAGATTTTAGACAATCATAGAGATAATTTCCTAATTCATTTCAACAAACCTTACGAATAAAAAGAAAAAAACCAACAATGTTAGAAATGTTAGAAACATAATATTGTAAATAATGTAAATTATCACTGTCATTCTAATATAAAAAATGGTAAGAAAATTTAGAATGGTGAATAAAGTAAAAAATGGTAATAACTGAAATATTAAAAAAAGTGACAGGGTAAGTAAAGAAAAAATTAGATAAATTATTTGTAAAACTTTATATTCTTTTAAAACTTTATATTCTTTAAAGTGTTAAGAAAAATTTAAGAAAAATTCGGCCAAAATATCTATATAAAGTGAAAATTTTATAGGATTGCAGTTCTTTAAATAACTTTCTAACTTTCATAGCATTCATTTGCTCAAGTTCTTCTTTAGTTGGTGCGCGACTTGGTGCTTGATAATTCATTGATGGTGCACCCTGATTCGAAGTTTTCGAGCAGCTCGGTTGGTTGACGCTGTTACTGTTATTATTGCTGTTATTGTTAGCAGCAGCAGGATCGTTTGACGACTGCATTTTTCTGAAGAAAAAAAAAATAAATGGACCAAAAAAACTGCAGAATAAAATGGAATGAAAAAAAAATAGAATCTCACTAGAAAGAAAAATAAAAGAAATAAATTTTACTAGTGTAATTTTACCAAGAAAACTGTCAGTAGCACCTAAAACTAATCTCTAAATAAGTGGTTTTTAACCAGTTTTGACCAGCGAAAAAAAAGTACAAAAGAAGTACAAAATGCAGTACAACAGAGGATCTCAAGCCTATAAGAAATAAGTGACTCCTAAAGGTGATATTAAAGCTTTGCTATGGATAGAATAAATGAGTAATGTAATGCTTGGCCTGAGGCTCATCTATGCAGATACGATTCTTGTCCCGCGATCATGCCAGTGAATAAAACAAATCCAAGTGGTCACATCACCTACATTCCCTCCAGTGAAGGAGCCTCATCTTATCAGTTAATGGAAATGAATATATATATATATATATATATTCATTCACGAGCAATCAATCGAGAAATTATCCTTAGATAGAAAATAGTCTTGCATTATAAAAGAATAAGAATGATAGAAAGGAAAAAAGAAAGTATATATATCGTATAAACATGAACGCTGGCTTCATAAACATAAACAAAAGTTTTTTAGCACAATATATTACTAAAAGTCAAGTAAGTACGGGAAATTCCATAAATTAGTAATTTATGGGTGTAAAAACATTAATCTAATCAAAAGATTAAATGAAAATGGAAAATTATATATATATATGATCTTGACGAAATTCTCTCCAAATCGCATAAACCGCTTCTCTAAACTGAATTAACAACCAACTAACAATTTCATTTTGACTTACATAACGAGATTTACATCAAGAATTCTACATTTATGATTAGAATATTTCGAAGCAGACCAGAGAAGTTTTTTATCGATATATGTAGAAAAATCGCTCTCATGCGTTCTTCCCACATATCACACAATACGATATACCATATTTTATTCTCCCAAATACCATAAACCACTAAATTAATTGAAATCATGTGGATATAGTTTTTATAGCACATAAACCCTTTTTCTCAATTAATTATAAGTTTAAAATAATCTTCGAAGAATTAAATGAAATTCGATTTTTAGTCGTAGGATTTCGTAAAGGCAATATTTGAACTGTAATAATTGTCTTTGTTTGAATTTTAATTCATCCAAAGATAAAAAATGGGATAAAAACGCAAAGCAACTTGTAAATACATTGTCCCAAAATTCATCCATTAGAACCATTAATTATTGGAACAATTAACCATAGTTTCACATAAGTTAGCTCAGTTAGGGATATTAATTTTCTTCGATCGATCGCCAGTTCTATTAAGAAATTTATTTACATTATTCGCGAAATTATTTGTAAGAATTTGAAAACAGCGAAATTTTAAAGTAAATGAAATTTAATTTTTGTTTTTTAATTAAAAAATATAATCACATAAGTGCCTAAAACCACAAGGAAATCATCTCCTTAACTGCTTAAAGACCCTCCAATGCCAATTCAATGACCTAACAGTACACTAAGTGAAATAAACCAGTGGAATCCGAAATATTTTTGAAAACCACCGCTCAAAAGCCTTTTTCAACCAACTGCATTAAACCCACTTGAATCTGCCATGTTATTGTTGTAGAGAATCGCTGCAGGAACTAATTTTCTATCTCGAATTTTATAGCAAAATATTAAATTTGAATTGACTGGTCCTAACACGAGGTGAATTGTCGGATTTGCATGTTAGATTTTTCGGCTGCTTTTATTTCGTTCGGTGGGATTATGCGAAGGGTTTTGTCGGTTTTCTTCAGTTGTTTCAGTTTTCTTAAAGTTGAGATTGGTCTTTTGTTTTTTTGCAGCTTCCAGGCTTTTTTCGAGTATTTTCAAACGTAATAAATAAGTAATTTCAATGATTTGATCCCTTAAAACTCTTATTCACACCCAAGGCAGAGCAACAGCACTGGTGCTGGCGGCAGTAACCCGAGCAACGTATAATTTAATTTGAAAGCAGCGAAATTCGAAATTAAATGAAATTTAATTATTGTGATTTATTTATAATTTCAATAAGTATAATTTAATCAGCTAAAAAGGCAAGAAGTGCAGAGATATTTTGGCTGAAAGCAGGAAGCGAGCACCAGAGAGACTTTGGAAAATCTTAATCATATTCTCATTTAAGCTGTTCGGGATTTCATTGATAGTTTGCTGGAATAATAGGAGCTTCAATAAAATGAAAAGAGTGTTTGGTGCATTCCTGTTATCGACTTGAGCCCCATTTCGGCTTCACCATGAAGCCTTCATGTTTCCTCACAGGGGTTATAAGGTGACGATCTAACGATTTAAATTATTGATGAGCAAGCTTTAGGGGTGAAGATAGAGGAAAGAAAGAAGAGAAAAAACAGAGGGAGAAGAAAGCTTATAAAAATGCACTGATTCGCCGGCCATGTATATCTCTGGCAATGACTTTGGATAGCAGTAAGATAATGAATTTCTTTATACGGCAGTGAAACGATTCGTTGTTATTATTGACGATAAATAAATCGGAAGAATATTTTTTTATCCGAATAATATCAAAAAATTTTTTTCTTTTCGTGTTTGTTTCTTCTTTTAAATATATAAGTTTTTTGTAATGACTTAGAGACTACATAAAAAGTATTGTTCAAGTAAGGTATTTACCAAAAAAGTATCTTCCTTTTTGAAATAGTTTTCAGTTTCATTTCTAGTTCGTTTTTTATTAATACTTTTTTTTGCATCTGTTGTTTGCTTATTAACATAGACTTTTGACTTAAACTCTGTTTGATCGTTTCGATAAAGAGAGCTGTTCGATTTTTTTAACCCACATTTGATTGTTTTCTTATATTTTGAATTTTTCATTCCGAGTTTTTCAGAACTCTTTTCATTTATAATATTATTTTTCCTGACACAGAAAGGGGCATAACAATGAAATTGTATGGTACTAAGAAGAAATAATCCGTTTCACTAATAAAATATTTCCTCCAATTTTTGTGAGGTGTTAGTTCATTATCTATCTATTCAACATCAATCGCTGATCGTGTTTTTTTTTTTTTAATTTGATTAATTGCTGATGTTTTTTAGATTTCGAAGGAATATTGTATTTTTTTTTCATATCACACTGATCTCGACAAAACGAATGAATACAATTGCGGAAAACCGAGCTAGTGATACCTCTAACTATTCATCAACTAAAGATTTAGATAATTGGGTTGAACAACTGTATGAATGCCATCAATTAAATGAAAATCAGGTCAAAATTCTTTGTGACAAGGTATCTTTTTGATAATATAATTATTAGTTATTTCAAAAAAGCCAATATTGATATTAATTGATATTAATCATTTGTCAGTGAAATAGCTATTTTCATAAATTCGAATGAAAATGGTGTTTGAATGGATTTAGCAACGAATTATGACGATTGATAGATTTTAAATATTCAGGCAAAGGAAATTCTACAAAACGAATCGAATGTAAAAGAGGTCAAATGCCCAGTAACAGTGTGTGGTGATGTTCATGGTCAGTTTCATGATTTACTTGAGCTCTTCAAAATGGGTGGTAAAGCTCCAAATACTAACTATCTGTTTATGGGGGATTATGTCGATAGAGGATATCATTCAGTTGAAACAGTTACCTTGCTTGTTTGTCTAAAGGTATATATTATTTTCTATATATTTTAATTTTCCCAATATTTTTAATTTTATGGTTCAGAAAATTAAGTTCCGTTTTTGATTTTTTTAAAATTAATTCTAGAATCATTCTGCAAAATTTATTCGTGGAGTTTTGGGTTTTGTTCTATAGATGTCCAGATCGATTGAGCTATGTGAAATAAAAATTTTATCGAAAAAATGGGTCAGTTGTCAGTGAATTAAGATAAGCACGAATATAATCTAGCTTTTTCAACAAAATTTATTTGCATTTTGAAATCTCACATGAATGCATCCACCATAGATACCACCTTTATTAGCACTACTACCACAGAGCACTGCCCACCAGAGGAGTTGAAATAGTTAACATATTTCGTTACTTTCTAGAACCTATGGTGGATGGCGTCGAAAGTAAGAAAAGCTAATCAAGACTTAGATTGAAAGTCAGGAAAGATTTTGAACGGTTCAGCAATATATGGATTCAGATAATAGAAAAACAAATGGCCTTTATTATTATATTAGCATATTTGTGAACATATTTTTTTGTTTTAGGTTCGCTTCAAAGATCGCGTTACTATTTTAAGGGGGAATCATGAATCAAGACAAATTACACAAGTTAGTAAAAATTTCGTTTGTTAGTGATATGAAATTTTTGATTTATTTTTTCAATTTCTTTAACTATCAAAAGCTGTTTTATTAATTGTTTGAAAATATTCAGTTTTTTTAAATTAAATATTATTAAATATTAAATATTACTATTAATTAGAATTAGAAAAATGATTTCTTAATTAAATTTAATGTTTAAAAACTTCACCATTTCATGAAATTTTAAAATGAAATTATATGAAATAAAATAATGAAAGTTTTTAGGTTTACGGTTTCTACGATGAATGCCTACGCAAATATGGCAATGCGAATGTTTGGAAATGTTTTACTGATCTCTTCGATTATTTGCCTCTTACTGCATTAATTGAAAATCAGATATTTTGTTTGCATGGAGGACTTTCGCCTTCAATTGATAGTTTAGATCATATTCGGTCATTTGATAGGATACAGGAAGTCCCGCACGAAGGTACCAATTCCTTCCAGTTTTGTTCAATTGGCATTTGAATATTTTAAGTTCAACATTAATTTCTTCAACTGCAGTAAATTGACCGGCATTTATCATTAATTCAGGTCCAATGTGTGACTTATTATGGTCAGATCCAGATGATCGATGTGGATGGGGTATTTCGCCGAGGGGAGCCGGTTACACTTTTGGCCAGGACATATCTGAAACTTTCAATCATGCAAATAAACTTACGTTAATTTCGAGGGCACATCAACTTGTGATGGAGGTTTTTCTTATGAGTTTTTATTGAAATCGTGAGATTTGAAAGGGTATTCTCTGAAGAAATGCCTCTCTTTATTTTTCATTTGTTTTCAGTGTGTTTCTAGCCAAATATACATTTATTGTAAGTCTTTCAGTTGTTTATTTTCAATATGTTTAAATCTTGTTCATAAATATAGGGGTACAACTGGAGCCATGATCGAAACGTGGTTACCGTATTCTCGGCACCAAATTATTGTTACCGTTGCGCAAACCAAGCAGCTATGGTTGAACTCGATGATGAACTTCGATATTCTTTCCTTCAGTTCGATCCTGCGCCACGAAATACGCAGACAAATGTGACTCGTCAAACACCGGACTATTTTCTCTGATAATACAATTGGTAGGATTCTATGCTTAAAATTATTTATTCACGATTATTCAAAGATAGCAGCGACCAAAGTACCCTAATGATGGTCCGTCCGGTATACCTTTTTTATTTCGGTTGCAAAAAACCACTATTATAAAAGTCGAAAATATACAATGCACGTCTTACTTTTCATCATTTTGCCCTTTTGCTCTATTTTATAATAATTAAAATATCGTTTTATCTCGTTTTTTTATGTTGTTCCGCCTGTTTTAAAACCGTATTGTCCATATAAAATCTCCTTTTTAGATTCGTTTTTGATTAAGAAAATTCCTCCTTTATTTATGCTAAAAAAAGTATAGAATATTTTTTGAATTTTTGCAAATTCATTTTTATTGTTATTTTTTATTTTTAAATGTGTAAAGGTTATTGCAAATGATAAAATTCTATGAATTTTGTCAAATGATGTTTAATATATGTAAACTAAAAGTCTTTTCCGTCGTATGGCTTTATTTGATTTGATTTTGATTATTATTAAAGTTATTTTATACAATAAAAAGTTCTTTGTTCATTTCCAAGATTCATTGAATTTATTCGATTCGATACATTAAATATTTTTGTTTGAAAATATTTTGAATTATAAAATTAAGAGAAATTAGAACTACAATCCTTTTTCTTGATGCAGATCAAGGCCAAGTTCCGAGCTGATATTAATGGATCAAAAACGGGAATTAAAAAGGCGTCATGACCATATTCTTTTATAAGATATCGACGATCTTCCAATAAAATAGTTTCAATGAAGGGTGCCATTAACATACGGAGACAATAGAAAGCAAAAACATCCTTCCATCGTCCAATCATCTCTTCAACTTTGGTATGAATCCATGGTTCATTTTGCAGCTAAAATTCCATGAATTCTTCAGTTAAATATCACAAACCGAGAATTCTGGTTCACCTGGTTGTAATGATTGGGCTATTGCCGAAGAATTGAGGAAGTAGTACAAGCGAGACTCCACTGCAACCAGCATTTATTCTTTAATGCTAAGTTTACCTTTGCCCAAATTAAAGAACTGTTATTTATTATAATTGAATATGAATATAAAACGAATAAAATCAGGTATAAATAACTAAGAATTTTCGAGTAGAATGTTCATTTATCTAAGGTGAAGCCATTATCGATTCGGGTCACAGGAGGAAACTCGTCAATGAAAATGAAATCATTCGCACTAATATTCCTTAGGTGATTTTTTATTCGTTCTAGTTTTTATTAGGCGAGAATATCTACTTTCTGAGTGGATCATCCTAGTAATAAATGGAGCGAAGATAACGAACTAACCAAATCATCAATTTTGATTAAAATGTGTTGACGATTTGCTAACGCTTTTTCCATATATTGGAAAAATGTCATATGATCGGATATTTTGACACTTTTCAAGCCCAAATGCTTGTAAGTATGTAATGAAGATTTGTCTTTTTCTCGTAACTTATTAAATAACCATTCAAGAATGGCTCGATAACAATGTATTTTATGAATTGAATCCTTAATTTTTTAATTAAATGATATTAAATATAATAAATAATATAAATAATCTTAAACACGTATTTAAAACACATATTTAAGTAAAGTGAGCAATTATATTTTATTTTATTGGTTATTAAATAGTTAACGACCTATTGGTTCATATTTTTGGGATTAATGGTCATGAAAATATTTGAAAATAAGAAAATCTGAATTTAGCAATAATAAAAAGAATAAAATGAAATGCTACTCTGAATCGATCTGTATTTTTTGCAAAACGTTCAATGGCATGACATGCCAATTCCTGTGATAAATATCCGAGAGAAAATGATTGACAAACTTTGCTCATAGGAAAATATTTAGCTGTAATAAAACTTCTAATGAAAAACCATTAGATAAGAAGAAAAAGCAATAAAAAAATTTTGAGAAACCGAATAGGAACAGGCAAGATGTAGATCATCCACTGAGATCATCCTAAGTTTGATTTCTACTTCTTGAAGCTCTTAAAAACCAAACACGTATACTGATCTAAACTCCTATTCTCAAGTGGTTCTTTGGCGAGCAATTGTCTTCAGCCAAACTATCCAAACCAAAGATCCTGTTAGAAAAATAGGAACAAAACAAAACTGAATAAATTAAACGAACGAAATATTAATAGTAATTAAAAATGTTACCTGGTATGCCTTAAGTGATCATCATTTTGTTACTTGCGTGTATATCACAAAAAATTTAACTATAAATTAAAAACCAACCTGCAGTATTATATTGTTCGTCCGTCTGTTTCCATTTCTGCCTGTGAGAATTATCATAAACACTAAATTTATGATAACAGCAAGGGAAAAGAATCAAAACTGCGATATCACTTCGAGCAATAAAGTGATGCAAAAGCATTGCAGAAAAATCGCCACAAGCGTGAAGACCAATGACGCATTTTAATTTATCTGAGAGAAAAACTTCGAATGAAAAAACTTGAAAAACATGAAATATCTTCTTCAAAGATTTCCTTCACTGTGATGCGTGCATTTAATATAAAGGCCTAACTTGCTAAAGAGCATTATTTATGATTAGGTTCGCTGGGTTGGTCAGACCAGATTATATTACGAAAATCACTCGACTATTAAAGTACAAGTGGATTACCAGCATCACTAGGACTTTTTGGAAGAGAGTTCAGTATCATTCCAAAAGAAAGCAATAATTCACTCAGCCATTCTATCCCCTAATGGTTCTTGCGTCTGAAAAGACAGTATCCACAGGTTGAAACCAATGAGAAGTGAGATGGACTTCAATACTTACAACGCTTACTTGAAAAGTTTACTTGGAAATTGATCTCCATAAAGAAAATCTATCACGATAAGCTAAACCCAATTAAAATGAAAAATTTTAATTAAAATCATGGATAAAACCACAACTAACCACAACTATTTTTATTGGAATAAAGATTAGAGTTCTTATCGACGGATAGTTTTATTCGATTAGGTAAAATAAATGTTGATGCATTCGAATATAATGGATCATTAAGTAAGCGGCGTTCAATGCGATCCGATATTAGTTGATCGAGTTGATCACATCGTTTGTATAACTTAAAGAAATATAAAAAAATAAAAAAGATGGCAAAATGATGCTAAGATGCTAAGAAGGCCATCAAATATTGAAATATCGTCGAAGCACAATAGTCAAAATACGAAAAATAAAATATAAAATTTCTGAGAATAGCGCCACTAACTGCTAATACGATTTAAAATTTTTATTAGAGAAACACTTGACCTGAGTCGCGAGCACCACTCACACCACCAGGATTTTTTACTGAAGATTTATTCCTGTCGAACAATGCTCTGACAGCACTTGCACAATAATCGAAAGCGAAAGGAATGGTGACATTAAAAAAAAAATTGTACTTAGGAATGTTTTCCTCAAGTCTTCCAAAAAGTAAGTTCGCTAAAAATAAAAATCCCTATACATATTTTTTCATCAATTATAAAATGCGACCTTCACAAAACTCACGTAATTATTTTTTTCGATCGCAATGATTGATAAAAGCTTATTATTCAAATGAAAACGAAGAGCCAAATGACGCGAAAGATGGCCAAGGCCACATCCAGCATCGATAATCTGTGTAAAGTTTGGTTTAACTGAAATTTCCAGATTTAAGCGAATAAAGCAAAAAACCTTAGAACAGTAACTGCATTTTAATTCGCACTTTTTATATTTATTAAATAAAATTTATATTTAATGATTAATAATTTGGCCCACAAAGCAAATGAAACTGATAATCTTTATATTTTAAATACTTTATATTAATGAAATTATCTTTTCTTAGTGGAAAAAAATACCAAATGCATGAATAATTTCGACAATTTCAGCGACACGATTAATTTCATGTTGTTTCTTCAGTTTCACTTTTAAATTTATGTCATACCAATCCAATTCATGAAACTCTTCAGAGAGCTATAAACAGCCAGTTTTACAGTAGTATATAATGAGCATTTGGATTCGATTCCTGGATTCGAAAGAATAAAGCTGCTCCGATTGGTGCTGAGGAAGCACCTGTGCCTTTATTTCCAGTTGACTTCCTCGCAAAATGTTTCATCCAACTAACTGGAGGAAGGCGAACCAGAAATGGTGGCCAACCATGTGTTTACTTTTTGTTTACAAACGTATTACTGGCAGTCTGACGTAAAATAAAAATAAGGAAAATAAAAATCAGTAAAAATATGTGGTTATCCTAAAATAAGCTTAATAATTCATTTAAATATGCTCTATGTGTGAATTTATTGTAAATTAAAATGAATACAAAATATGTTCGCATGTTCGCATACTTTATATATTGCGACTATAAGCCTTTTGGACAATATAAGGGGATCCAGGAAGAGGACCTAAGAAGCAAGGTAGCTATAAGGGGGACGCTTAATATAACCGGCTTTAATGAGGTCTAGTATGGAGATTCCGACTGCAGGATATAGCGATGTTTAAAAGGATATTAAAGGAAAAGGCAGAAGAAGGAAGAAACCGAAACCGAGTTTTTGAAAGATCGGAAATATAATGAAAGCACAAGATATTAAGTGATGTCAAGGCAATATAATGAGACATTTGTGGATTTAATGGCTTACAGAAAGGACTGACATAACGTACATGAATGCATTATAAGAGAGCCGCTTCAACTAGCAGAACGCTTCAGGAACGTGTCCTGAGGGATGATGAAAAAGTAAGATAACGGCATTTGACCGGATGCTACGAGAAAATAGAGATTAGAGGTGTCTTAAGGGATTATACTGGGATTTGAAAGGAATTATGGGTACTAAATATTTATGGCAAATAAAAATGTTGACCATTTGATGGGATTAAAGAAAAATGGCGGGGTGAGAAATTGCAAATAGGCTGAAGAGAGATGAAGGGGCACAAAGGGGTTTAAAAGAATTCTTAATAAACAATGGCAGAGTATTATCTGAAAGAAAAAAAATAAGTTTTGGGTGTATTAAGAGATAAAGGTTTCGGATTTCTGTAGGGTTAAGAGGATTTCACAACTTGTAATAGTTTTTGGAGTATTTCAAAAAGTTCCAGTTCAAAACGACTGGTCGAAATTTCGTAAAATTCGAGTCTGCGACATTTACTAACAACAAATTATACCCATAACATGATCGATAAACAAAGTCCAAATTTCAACTTTAAATTCGAAATGGAATCCAAACCTTATCACTGGAAGTTTTATCAAAGCAGCATTGATAAGCGAATTGTTTCGGCCCCGTGACAGCTGTTCGTCGTAATGAATTTACTTTTAATACATTATAAAAACAAATAAACGAAAGAGGCAAAACAATTTTAGCATTTTCCAGTCGACCATCGATAATTTCCAACCACTGTGATGGATGAAAATCAGTGAAAGATTTCTGCCAGATTTTTGGTAAGCGATTCCAATGATTATCAACGAAAAAGTCGGTTATATGCATATCAGCTAACCATCCATATTTTTCAATTACCACTGAGAAGATCGACGTTTTCATTGCACTATTAAATATTGCTGAAATAAGGTAGACTAATGTGCAGTCCACAATCCATTGACTTAAATCAGGACAATTCACCGTCCTTGAAATGGGAATATCATTTGCTGGATGGATGAAAGATTATAAGACCACAGATGTGCAAAAGATTAATTATCGGACACGGCGATGCGATACAATAGATTCTTTGTTGACAGAATCACCAGATGCAACAGGAACCATACACACTGACTTTTATGGAGCCGAGAGCCAAGAATTTTAAATATGTACACAGCAATACGAACTCAAATACGAACCTTACTCTTGAAGGGAGTGAATTTCTCCCATAATAATGAAATCTAACTAACACTGGCGAGCCAATGTATAATCCCAGAAAATTCATTGACATAAATAGTTAAAAACATATAGAGAAAAACTTAGTAAAGAAAATCCGAAGCAATTTTTGCTACTCACAAATATCCAATAACGAAAGGGATTGGGTCCGCAATCGACCAGAAATGGTGCGTACTGTCAGAAAAAGAAATAAAATAATTAAAGCGAAATTTATTACAAAAAACAAAAAAGCATTAATCTCATAATCAGTCGCAAAAATAAGGTAACTAATGAAATACGATTGCGAATCACCGAACAAATGTATTCATAAATATATCTTTAAGCACCCAGAAAATTCATTAACATAAATAGATAAAAGCATATAGGGAAAAACTTATTAAAAAAATCTGAAACAATTTTTTTAAAATCTTTCTTCTTCAAACACCCTGATGCACAATTTTACTCTCAATAATATGAAAATATCCTTCCAGTTGCGTTGCCATATAAGTTTATCATTACGAATCATTAATTACAAACTAAAAGAATAATCATACGCGATAAAAAATTGATATAATTTTTGAACAACTCAGGTGGTATAAAAAATTCGAACAAAATAAGCAATAACTGTATGGTGGTTTATTATGCACAAATCACGCTCGAAAAAAAAACTGAGAAACTCATCAAGAAATTAAAGAAATTAGTTCATGAAATATGCCAATCTTTAAGGACATCAATGTGATAAAAATGAGAAAAAATCGAATTAAGATAAAAGTTGAAATATTCAACCATGTCCAAAACTTAAAAAATAAAAAAATAAAAAAAATGAAATCTAATGAAATGAATGAAATGAAATCAACATATAAACAACATAAAATTAATATAAAACAACGAAAAATCTGTAAAAAATCGAGGTTATCCACAGAAAAGAAATAAGAATTCTTAAAAATATATAAAAATATGAATATAACAACAAATGCATACAAAAAATAAGGCAATAATTAAAAAGCACGCCGAGAGAGTGCATAAAATTTTATCTAATCACCATCACTTTACCCGATTTAAAATAATGAGCACGATTTATTTTTTCCCGATGGTTTAGGTGTTATCACAGCTCGAACGGCTTCCTCGAAAACCTGGAAAAAATTTTTCGAAAAATAAAATAAAAAATGGAGAAAATAAAATGAAAGAGAAAAGAGGAAAATTTTTCTATATAATCCTTTTTCTATATAACCCTTCAACTTTTTATTCCTAAGCTTTAAGTTTAAGCTTTAAGCTTTAAGTTTGCTTTTTCCTTAAAACTATCAGACAAAAGTGTAAAATAAAAGATCACCGTTATAATTAACTGTTATCTGCAAAAGTACAAAAGTTAAACAAACTTTGATTCAAATTTTCTGTAAAACCTAATCAATTAGAATGATAAAAAAAGATATAAGTACAGCTTTTAATCCTTGTTGCGTTAAAGCACTACATTCTAAATATTTTACTGCTTTGATTTTTTTGGCTACTTTCTGGCCTTGACTTTTTGTAATTGGCTGCTTTCCTTCAGAATTTAATTGCCTTAATGTTTCAGGATCGTCACGAAGATCCAATTTTGTTCCTGAATTATTAAAATTATCCTGAAGACTTTTGTTTTTTAAACCTCACTTTGAAAAAAATAAGCCAGGAAATAAAAGTCGAAAAATTACAAATTTTTTAAACTATTAAGAAAACCTATTAAAATTATTGGTGCGTCTGGACAATTATGCCGGATTTCAGGAATCCATTTTGTTGTTACATTATCAAATGACACTGGACCAACAATGCTAAAGCATAATACAAACACATCGGTCTGAGGATAACTTAATGGACGAAGGCGATCATAATCTTCCTTAAATAAAAGTCGACCAAATTCCAAAAAATAAATAATTAAGAACGATACATGAAAAAAAACAATTTTAAAGAAAAGAGGTGCAGATTTTGATAAAATTTTGGAAATTTTTAGATATTAAAGATATTAAAATCAAAATATGCCAAGACAATGGACAACCAAACCAGATAGAACTTACTTGTCCTGCTGTGTCCCATAATCCTAAATTTACAGCATGACTGTCCACTGTCATTTGTGCAGAGTAATTATCAAATCTTAAAAGAATAATAAAAAAAAACTTTATAAATAACAAATTAAATCTGAAAATATCGAACTATAATATAAAATGAAAAATTCAAAGTTAAAAGAAAATAAAAAAATCTCTTTCACATGTAAGTGGTGAAGATCATTTTTAATCTTGGGGCCTGAAAGGCTGGAGATTCTACGCAGAATCTTAGTTGTTCCTAATAGGGCGCTCTGATATTCCTGGAATCTGCTGAAGCCATTTTTCTAGTTTGGGGGTCACAATTTCAAGTGCCTGAATTATCACTGGAATTACTTTGGCCTTCACTTTCCACATCTTCTCTAATTCCTCTTTCGACTCTTGGTATTCTTTAATTTCTCATATTCCTTTTTCCTAGCGTTCCTGTCATTTGATACCCTTGTGTCTATTACCAGCGCTAATTTTTTACTCTTGTCTACTACTGTGGTACCGGGTTAATTGATCCATACTGTTTATTGTTTATTTTTCTGAATTAAGAAGTCGCACAGATGCCATAAGTAATTTACCCCATTATTTTCCATAATTTTACTGAGAATCTACCATCCATAATTGATATAAATACATAAATTAATAATTAATAATTGAATAAATATATTCATGAAGCGATATATAAAGCAATTAATATGGAATGTAACAATAATAGTTCGAATAGCAGCCAATCCTTTCTATGTTTCCAGTGAAAATTCTTGGTTGGTTTAGAATTTCTGGAAGCTTACTTGTATTACCTCAATCACCTAGCCTCTGGCAGAAACCGAAGGTTGAAAGTGAATCAAACCACTAAACTTTTAGAATTCCCGATGCACTATTAGATGAGGGTTGAGATGAAATATATTCGATTCATCGTGGTTTTTTATTGTTTGCTAAAAAATTTATCGATGAAGCTATAAATTCCTCATCAGTAATAATTAACAAAAAGTAAAGAATGCTACAGATTAATGCACCATTGCATAAAGCCAAACATGGTGCGTCAATTACTATATTAAAGCATAGATTGCATCACCAACAAGACTTTATATCATGCTCATTTCCTGTCCCTCATATGTGTGACTGAATCGATTCGCATTAATTTCGTTCGACTCTGCCTAACGACAGCAGTAAATCTGTCATTAAAAATTCAGCGTGATGCTGGCGATCCACTTCCAGTTCCATCGCCAAACAACTCTCTGGTAAAGATTCACTAATATCAAGTGCAACCTAATCAAAAATGGCGAGCGCTAAATATTTCTTTACATATTCCCTTATCTATACTTAAACTTTAACCTATGTGATAAAAGAAAGGATCAATTAAATTATCCACATAAGATAATGCGTAAGTATCAAAAAACAAAAAGCTTACACGGTTGGAACATATTCAACAGGAAATGAATCGGTTGTGTATGAAATAAGCATACACGTCTTTCCAACAGTACCATCGCCTACCACGACGCACTTAATCTGCCGTGTCGGTGCTGACATTTAGTAAAAATTACGAAATTCGCTGAAATATTTTTATTTTTTGAATCGTAAAATACATGAAATTTGTCAGAGTTCATCTAAAATTTCGAATTTTACGAATATTCATTGTTTTATTATTTTATAAATTATTTCTTTCAATTTCTTTTCACTCTTCTAATAAATTGAACAAATATTTTTCGGTGGTAAAAAGAAAAGAGAGAAAAATTTTAACCAAATGAGTCACAGGAAAATAACAACATAAATATACCAACTTCAGAGGAAAATTAAAAAGAAAAGAATCAAAAGAAGCAAAAAATGAAACTTGATGAATCAAAGATTGTGCGCAAATTATTTCTGGCAGATGCAAAAGAATCAATAAATCAATCTGATTAAGAACATGAAGCAAAACAGAATAACCTATGGAAAGTACCAATAAAATAAAACCGACACACCCACTCAACCCTTCGTAAGAAAACCACCCTACCCAGCTGAAAAGAAAAAACCAGGTTTTACGACTAAACTAAACGATTTGAAAAATCGAATCGTTGCAAGAGTTGTGAGGCTATTTTAACAGCACTAAATCCACTTTTATTTGCTCGAATCCACGTTAACCCCGTAAGTTCTATATTTTATGTGCGTGGTATTAAGCTTTTAATATATTTTCAGTAATGATTTTAGTTAGGTTCTAACGATGGAATATATAGAAAAATTGATTTTCAAAAATTCAAAATTGATCAACAGCAAATTATCGCTCATCACTCCCTTTTAATGCTTTTGCCTATTCATTTCTTCAGATTCTCCCAAAAATCGTTGTGTTTTTCCCATCGCCGTGCTTTCTTATCCTTTAATCTCCCTGAACACATCCTTCTCCCATTATGCTCACTGTTATGTTTCCTTTATCGCTTTTTGCTGGGGACCGTGGAGGAAGTGAACCTGGAGCTTTGATGGTACTTTATCATAACAATGTCGAGTTAAGGAACCTAAATTTTAAGAAATTTTGATAAAATGAAATTGATCTGTTTAAGCAGCATTATTTTCCAGTGCTAAAAAAATTACTTCTTAACAATTTGAGTTTTAGTTAATTTTTAGGTTAAATAGAGACTATAAAAGGAGAAAAAACCTAATAAACTACTCGCCATTCAATTATTATTTTTATTTTCTTCATTAATTTATAAAAAAACCTGAAATAATTTGAATGGCCGATTTTATTAATATTTTTCGTTTTCACCACCAGTAATTCTTATATAATTCTTACTTAATACTTCAGCCGGCCATCTTTATTCTTCTAATAACTCGCACCATTTCAGTTTTGCTGGTTCCAACTATTGAGAGGCATCGCTTAAAGGATCCCTTGGAGATGAAAGCATAAGTGCGTCTGCGATCCGTCCGCATTTCAGTTTTAATGAGAGATTTGTTCGCAACAAGGAAAAGGAATCGAATGAGTGATGAGTGATAGAGATTGAACGTGCAACTTTACTGTTTCCCAGTTTTTATTCAGTGAAATTCCCATTCGCATTTTATCTCCAACTCCGCTCCAACTACGCAATACTCTCGTGAAGCAAACGTCAAAATCACGTTTTTCTCTCTAAAGAGAATTTCGACCAAAGCAGTGCATAATTCAGGTGAAATCCTCCGCGAGAATATTCATTGCAGTTTGAGGGAGGTTTCTGTAATTTTAGTTTTCTTCAAATCTTTTTTTCACTTTTTCCGTACATCAAAAATTTCCGTAGAATGAATGCAAGAAGGGATTGCAATATTTATTGTTTCTTTGTTCTTAAAATGACGAGGAGGGACAACAAAGCGCCATGCCTCTTCTAGTTTCCTTCTTCTAGCAGCACTTGCCATTTCTCATTTGATTGATCAGCCAATAGATTATCTTTTGACTGAAGAAACACTTGGGAATTGAAATACGCGAGAGTCTCCACCACTGTGCAATTTCACTTTTAATAGTGAACTTGTACCCGTATAGGAATCAAATTTATGTTGCTTGACTTCGGTCGAAGCGATTTGCCACACAATCATCATATCTTATTGCAGATCATAGATTTTTTCGCACTAAGGAACACTAAGGAATTTAAAAATAAATATGAATTAGAGAAATTTTGCTAGAAAAATAAAAAACAGTGATGAGCGAATTATGCTACTGAAGAATTATGCTTCTTTATGAAATTCCGCTGATCTAATTCTCCGGTGAGATTTTATTTAAAAAATAAATATAAAAACAAATACCTTCTTCTTCTAACAACTTTCACCATTGCTGGTTAAGCTGGCTGCGCTGGCTATAAGAATCCGGTCCGACGTCATCACTAGTACTAATAGAAGCCATTCCTTTTTCAATTGTCTAAGTCCATATATCGCTGGTCTCCATTTTTGTTCAAAATCCTTCCTGACTGTATCAGTCCAGGTCTTGATTGGCCAACCTCGCTTTTGACGCCATCCATCACAGGGTTTAGCTAGTAATGAAACATCAACTCTTAGCAAGATCGAATGAATGATAGCTATATAGATGGGGGCTTTCGTTTTTATGATCATTTCATGACGTCTCCATAAGGGATTCGTCAACCGGAAAAATGTTTTTTAGCTCGTGATCTGGGTTGCAGTGTCGTCTTTTGCATGTCCATTTGGTATAAGAGTGGACCCAAGGTATTTAAAATCGGGCACTCAAGCGATGCCAATTATCCAGTCTATGCCAATTATCCAGTCTATGCCAATTATCCAGTAGTTGAATATTGTGGGGCAAAGGACGAAGCCCTGATGGAAACCAGTTTCAAAGGAGCTTGTCATTTCCCCATATACATAGACTTCCCCAGGGTATGCTGATAAAATGCCTTTATGAGTCGAATAATCTTCTCAGGGACACCGTCACATTCCATCACTTTCCAGAACTATCAATCGAATTGAAAGCAAATCTGCGAAATCGATAAACCAAGTTGCTGGTATTTGAAGCGATGTTCCAGCATTCTTTTTAGCGTAAATATCTGGTCAGAACAATCGCGTCTTGGTCTGAATCCAGCTTGGTTAGGACGCATTCTCCTGTTGTCATTTAGTCTATTTAGCAGAAGGGAAGCGAAAATTTTTCCGGAGTCCAGTAGCCTGATTCCTCGATAATTGTCGTAGTATGTCCCATCATCTTTCTTAGGAATAGGAAGCAGAATTGCTTTGCTCTAGTCTTCTGGTATTGTTTCTTTTTGCCAGCCAGAGAATACATTTGTTGAAGGTAAGTTATGAACGATGATGGACAACATTTGAATAGTTCGGCCCGAATACCATCTTCTCCGGAAATTTTATTAGCATTAAGCTTATGGATTACAGAGAGTGTTTTCTCTTCTGTTGGCTGCTCACAATTGCAAACGTAAGGCTCGACGGGCAAATTATATTCGGGACAATAGATGGTGCATCATGGTTAAGTTTGGCACAAAAAAAAATTCTTTCCATCTTCTGAGGCGATCTTTGACAGTTTTAATAGGCACCCCATTAATATCCCGTACCATTTCACTGACTCATAGTTGCTTTGCGGAGAAGGCGAAACAGTTTCCTGCGCGAATCGCCGATTCCATTCGCTGCAATTTCTTTCACGCCGTACTGCTGTCGTTGTAATTCTTCGAAGCACCCGATAGTCAGAATCTCCTAATATTCGGGCTTTTTCAGACAGTTGCTTCCGACACCTAACTAGCACACTTCCTACTACTATACCCTAATGTGGAAGTGGTTGACTTTTGTAGGCATGTCTTCAGTTGGGACCAGTATTCATTTGCCGTTCCAGAGATTGACATTCATTTCACTGAGGCGTTTCAATAATGCAATTTGAAATGCGCTTATCGATCCCGGATCTTTTAATTTGCGATAGTTGAAAGATCTTGGGATACGTTGTTCCTTACAACTTGTCAGTTTTATACGAATCTTGGCTCGAACCATAACATGATCTGATCCATAAAGATTACCACTTTCAGTGCCCCGATAAGAACGACTATCAAGTACATCTTCCAGCAGTGATTGATTAATATATAGTCAATCTGATTGGAATATCGGTTGTCCGGAGAGTTCCACGTGACTAAATGTTTCCTTCGAAAGCAGCAGAGTGACAAAGAGTTCACGCTCTTCAGCAAAACGAAGAAGATTTGACGTTCTCCATTGGCACATTCGGCCTCGATGCCATATTTGCCGATCACCGAGTTCATCGAAACGGCATCATGATTTACGTGCACATTCCAGTCTCCCCCGAGTGTGACCATGTCACCTCTCGGTAGGGATGTTGTTAACAATTGAAGTTCCGCATAGAACTTCTTTATCGCGGTCAACTACGCATAAAGTTGGTGCATATAAGAATTTTGTTTTGAAATGCGCGTAGGCCATATGGTCATTTACTGGTTTCCACTCAATCAGAGCGGATCGAGCCTTTTCAGACAAAATAATCGCTACGCCATTTCGCTCTGAGTTATCCGAGACACCACATTAATATAGCCAATATCTTTGCTCAGTGTTTAATAATTACTCGAGAGCTGACATGAGGAAGACGAACCTCCGACAAACAAGCCACATCCATGCGGTATTTAGAAGTTCTAACGTTCCACCTCACCGCGCTTACAAAGTGTTAGCTCTCGCCTTCCTTGATGAATTTTAAGTACTTATCTCGGTTCGCGAGCAAACTGTATTTGTGCCTTGGAATTTTATTTTATTATTTATTATTATAATAATTATTATAATCGGATTGTATAATTATCGCATGTACCACTGGGTCAGAAGTAGCATGTCGGGAGACACGGACGTTGCATCAAAGAGACCACTGTTTCGCCATGGAGTCACTTGGGGATAGAGATACAGATGGATACCCTAAATTTTTGACATCATGATAGGTTTAATCCCGTCAAAGACAAAGAATAGAGATAATCAAATTAAATTTAGAAAGATAAGTTAAGAGATGATGAGAAGGAAAAAATTAAAAAAAAAAAGAACTTATCCGATTCATAGATTCCTAAATGACAAATAGTAATTAATAAATTATAGGATAATAATATAATACGATAATATAGCGATAGAAAAAATATTTTTTTTTAAATTTTATTGATTAATGAGCAAAGCGCCTTTTCGACACCGCTCATAAAGTCAACACTAAATTCGATCCATAAAAAACACCTTATAGCTTATTATTCGTTTATTATTTGTGTTATGTTATGGCTTTAACACCTAATAATTTGGCACATAAATGGGTGGTTATTTATCAAAGAGGCCAGGAAACATTGCGTTACTTCTTGTTATCTAATAACGCAAAGTATATATTAATATTTTTTTTATATATTAATCTTAATATATATTAATATAAAATTTTTGAAAAATTCGGACGAAAAATTCATGAATTCTTCAAATATTTATAATTTTAGGATATTTTACAATGTAAATCAAATAAATCAATCTGAAAACTTTATCAGATCTTTCGATAAAGCAAAAATGGCGAATAAAACGTCAAAGTATAACTTTAATACTGCTTTCATGGTATCGCTTTTCATTTCTGTTTAGGCTCCGCTAGTACGATTTAAGGGAATCATTTAGATAGAACTTTTTCACTGGTGAAGGGACGATTATCTGATTATCCCTGGAGCAGTACTTCGACCCTGATAGAAATAATAATAGACTGCTCTGCCCATCATTAATTTATAACTGCAACGATATTTTTTGAAATTGAAACTGAGAGTTATTTATAATTTAAACAAATTTAAACAAATTTTTATAAGTAAAAGTGTTTGTTCTTAATCGAGAGAATATCAAAAAATAACAGACAAAAGATTTTTTCTTGATTTTGTTTTGATCAAATTTTTTTTCCACTAATAGAAAAAAGAATGCGGTCTTAGGAAAGATTTCAATTCTACATCAACAAGCAAATTGCCTGCCCAATATCCAATATAAATTTCTGAATTTTAAGTTCCAACAGGAACGATAAAGAAGACAAATATGGAGATTATTCTATTTTGCAGTTATTTTCATGTAAAGTATTGAAAACGATTGTGATTTGTTTTTTCCTTTTTTAATTCGCATTTACGCCTGCTTTCTTTTACTTCCGTGAAATGCATTCGTTCCATGTAAATTTTAGTGTTTTTGGCTAAATCGCAAGAATTAAGAATCGTGTAACGATTAATTCTCAAAATTTCTTCCCCATCAATATTAATTAAACCGCACTCAGTCAACAAAAAATAGGCATAAATTGCCATATACAGTTAATTTTGAATGTTTTCGGAAATATTATCTGTGGAAATTTGACAGGGTTTTCTGATCGAAAAAGACTGCATGTATTTAATGGAGTCTTTTAAATATGGCTTTAAAACCATTAACGCTCATCCCAAATTTTTTAAATGAATTAAATCAAATAATATCGAGAATATCACAATTTCCGGCGAATTAAACATTAAATTTCGTTTGCTTTTCCATTTTCTGAAAATGAGATAAGATATATGAAATAAGTTTTGTCTCCGATAAAATACTTTAAGCGAAAAGAATAAACATTTGGCCGCAAAGAAATACTGAGCGAATACAGTGAAAATCTCGAATAAACGATAAAATTTCTCAAATTTTTCATGTTTTCCTGAAGAATATTGTCACAAATAAAACTTTCATATATCTTCCTAAAATACTTTTAAATCTTTTATACATTATGGGGTTATATATTAATGAGAGGTGATAAAAAAAGTTATAGTCCATGGATTTTAATAATTAGAAATATTTTTCAAAAATAAACCTAAAATAAAAAATGACAGAAATTTACAACATAGAGTATAAGTAGAGATCATTGTAAGGAAAATTTGGTTGGATTTTGTCATTTTGTCATTTAAACGAATTCTTTTAGCATTTTACATATTTTAAATCATAATTAAACTTTAAACTTTAGCATATAATAGAACGGTACTCTTACTTAAAACTTCACAAGATTTCATATATCTTCTTAAAATATCTTAAAATTAACAATTAAAAATATATAAATAGAAAACCATAGATTACAAATCAGTCACAAATAAAACAAATAAAATCTTGATATATCTTTCTAAATTACTTTCAAATTTGGACAATCATATTCGCATTGTTTTAGGCAAAACATGGTGTAATGTTGATCTAGTACCATTATTTCATTACATTCCAATATCACACCATTAAATCATTTGCCGAATTCATTACACCATCTTTAAATTTCAGAAATCATACTTGATTCGCGTGAATCAAGGGCATACCGCTGCTCTGGCACCATTACTTCATCGCATTCCAATCGCATCTCTAAATTTTGTGAGACCTAATTTTAAATTTCACTTTTTATTTTATTTTTATTAGAACTAAATTCAAATTGAAAGATCAAATTTCGCTAGAATTATCTAGATCTAAATTTGAAATATAAAAAATAATTTGAAATCTACATTTGATATCAATCAACGAAATCAACTATTAAATTTTTTTTTAAAGTGAAAAAAATAATAGTTTTATAAAACTCCACTCCGAAATGTCGAACATTTCACAACGTGATAGCAAAACTTTAAAAAATAAGAATGAACCATGCTAACCTTCGGCCAAAATTGGTCTATTCACAGATGCAATGTTTTCATTTTTCACACTATTGGAAACATTTCCAACATCAACAAAAATCTGATCACCTGAAAAGATGAAGAAAATGGTATGAATATTTTAAATACTGACAATATATATGAAAATGCAGGATAAACTGGTTCTGGATACAGTATATCCATTCCAACTAGAATGATTTTACGAAAATTCTTATTAAAAACCAAAAATAACAGAATCAAACCCGGTAGAGTTAAGCGTGTACAAATCTCATCCGGACGAAATAAGGCTTTATGATGATCGTCAGAAATATTTCCATGTTCAATGATATTCCTTTCATGATTTATATTAGAGCGATCTCGATGAGGTCTAATAACATCAGCGTAAGCCATTGCATGCGTACTTTCATGGTAGCTTTCACCTGCACACGTTGATGTTGAAGTTTGTAACGAGCTTCGAAAACTCCTACCAGCAGTCGTAGTTCTTAAATTTGATAGATTTATAATACAAAAATGAGCTTGATAAAATAGAATCGAAGAAAAAGAACCAGCATTTATGTTTAATTAACTTTTTCTACTCATAATCGAAAATCGATGAATAAAAATGACCATTATATCAGTAAAGGTTATTCGAAAATTCTTTTTGAATAATGTAATATGATAACATATATTTTACGGAATTTTACGGAAGAATTTCCAATTATGAATTTTTGATTAAGCTAAAAAATTTTTTCAACCTTTCAACCTTTCTGTTTCGAAAATTTCATACTTCTGAAATGAATATTAAGACCAAACATAAAAACTTTTCTTTTTAAAGAAATAAAACAGTAAATGAATTTTGAAGTTTTCTGACAATATACAGAATTTAAAAATTCGATGAATCACTATAAGTTAAACTTTAATCATACTTTGAAAATTTGAAGAGATAGCAAACCTTCTGATGCTTTTGCATGAAATCGAACTAGATGAAGGCCTATATTCATAGCTTGGTATGTAACGTGGTTCATTAGTTCGAACATTTTGCGAAGTATTTACAACATAATCAAGGCCACCAAACGAAGTATGACGATGGTTAGGTGTTGCTGTTGACGCACAATTTGCATGTGGAATATTCCCATAGTACAACTTCGATGGAACTGCAGGAGAGGAATGTGATGATGAAGTAGAATATTTAGATAGCGAGGACCTAAATTTTAAAAAAAAAATCAGGATTATAAAATTTATTAGAAATAAAGCGTTGACATACGCTGACAGCAAACATCATTTTTCGTTACTTGCTAAACCCTGTGATGGGTGGCGTCAAAAGTTAGGTGGACCAGCAATATATGGAATTAAACGATGGAAAAAAGAATGGCTTCTATTACTGTTAACGATGGGATTAGACCGCACCCACGTTTGGAAACGTCTTACCCTTGTAATCAGTGGAGCCAGCCTAACCAGTAATGGTAAGAGCCATTAGAAAAAAAGAAAATTTCATCAACGATTTAAAACATTGATAATCTATAATTTTTGAACGATTTCATGGAAAATTAGGAAATAAAAGTAGAGCAAAAATAAAAACAAAATGAGATACAAATGGAAATAAAAAGCATAATTTATACTAAGTTCTTTAAAAATCTTATTTTAACTGAAAAGACCATACCTCATATACGATGATGATGGAATAAACCTTTCTCTTGAGCCTATAACATTAGGCACAGATTGATAGTAATGATCTGTTGATCTTTGATCATTGCTGCTAAATGATGAAATACGAGATCTTTTTAACACTGAAATATTTTCAGGATTCAGGATTTTCAGGAAATCAAACTCTAAAAGCATAGAACTTATTTGAAATAAAAGCTATAATATGGATTCTTCCAAAACTATATATATATATATGCTTGAAAAAAAGGATATAAATGAAAGGAAGGCAAAGCATCGGCCTCGTTGACATAAGATATCAAAAGATATCAAATCAATTTAAAGAATCAAAGAATGAATTCATGGGAATTCAAAGTTTTTAAAGGAAAAGTTTTTGGTAGTATAATGAAAAAATTTGTGTATTATTTTCACAAAAAAGAAATTTCTACTCAAAAATTTTTTTACATAAATTTCTTAAAAATCGAGAATCAAATTTCTTAAAACAGAATTAAAGAATAAACTGCAAAAAAAAATTAGCTGAAGGTAAAAGAAGGTAATACCTTTTGTTCTGCAAGAAATTTTAAAAATAAATAAAGACGACAAGCAACAATATTGTATTTTTAAGAAGTAAGAAATATCTTTGCACATTTTTTAAATGAAAATTTTTAGATGAAAATTTATCCGTCCAACAAAAAAATATCGAAATGAAAATAAGAATGAAAAGAAGAATGGAAATCCACAAACAAATGAGACCAAAAGGATACATTAAAACTTACTGTTAACATCATTTCCAGATTGATGCGAATAAGAATTTTGCACAAATATAGGAATACTTGGAGAAAGCGGAACACCACGCATAGATATTGCTTGTACTACCGGTTTTGATATGGAAACATCAACAGTTCGAGCTGCATTCGTAATATTTGCTGAAGTGGTTGGAGGAACTTGCGACGAAGCATTAAGTGGCGGCGATGCACGTCTCATGGAACTAAAACTCATTTCGAAAAATTTTGCGATCTAGAATAAATTATTACTATACAAAAGAATAATAACAGAAAAAAAATGAACATGGATTTGTAAAGAAAAGAAAAATTGCAAGAAATATAACAAAAAATTTTAAAAAAGCAACAATTAAATTTACATTCTGCATTCAAAAAAAAAAAAATCAAACTTAAGAATGAACATTTGATGCCGTCTAACAACTATCTTCAATCACTCTAATAATTTTACCGTTTGGCTATTTTTTTAAAGGAATTATTCATATATATCAAAGAAGAAGAGAAAAAATACCGCTTATCTGGGTTGCCTCGAGGTGGTTTAGATTTCTGCCCAGGAATAGCTGTTTCGAAAATGAAAGGCAAAGCACGCGCACAAACAAAAGTATCATCTCGCTATAAAAAATAGAAAGTAAAAAAGGAATGCAAATGAATAAAACCAATGTAATTTATAATTTAAGAATCTAAACATTTAGAATGGTGAATTTCAATAATTTCGTAATATATTTAGGCAAAATAAATATTGAACCGATTTTTTTACTGATTCTTTCGAGTTGCTTCTTTTTAGCCGTTCTTCTCCATGCACTAAATTATTACGATTTACATTTCGTATTTAAAAACAAAAGGGATAAAAGCGATAAAAAGTAAGCCAAATAAATTAAGTAGTAAAAAATATTTAAGTACACTTGACGGCTTCTTTTTCACAAAAATCATTGTTATAAGTCGAAATGATATTCGGCGAATTTGATTTTGGCCTCTTACGAGATGATCGAACAATTTTTTCTTCACCCTTTGTTGCATTCAATTTCGTTACCTAAAATAATTTTCTGTGTCTGATACGATGATTCGGAAGAAAAGAATACCAATTATCTACTATTTGAAAATCTACTATTTGAAATTTTTTGCAAATAAGACCTTTGCATGATGCAGATTAAAATGAGATTCATCGCTTTCTTCTACATTTTTTATCCAATTAGAGCCGCATGACTGTTTGGAAAACACCGGTTCATCAGCTATCGCTTTCTCAAAATTTATAAAATAAATTAAATAAATTAAAAAGTGATTTTCTACTTGTAGAAACCAGATGAAAATTAACTAATAAAATTAACATAAAAAAGCTTCAAAATTTTCTTGAAATCCGAATAAATAAAAAAAAATTACCGCTTCTCACTTTCCCAATTTCTTCACCAGGATTACTTATAGAAAATTATTTTTCAACCACAGAGTGAAATGATAAAAAATTGTTTCATATCCACTTTCGTTACCTAAAAACTTAAAAAATAAAATACCTGCACATCTTTAGTATTCTGCATATTACGATTACGTTTAACAGCCTTATTTTCCGTCTTCGAAATAGTTTTACTTTTAGCTTTTTGAAGCTGAAGAATTTCGTCATATGTACAGCGTTGAGATTCAATTTCTGTATAACGCAAAAATTCACGTAATTTTTCAGGCACTGAAAAATATGCATAATTTGTTCAGAATACATTCTAAATATATGAACACACTGAAAGTCAAAATTATCTAAAATTAGCAAAGAAAAATGAATAAATACTAATATTAACAACAACAACATGCTTACAAATCCAAAATTTATTTTTTTATTTTTAACAATAGAAAAATGTTTATAGTTGAATAATAATACTACTGTTAATAATACTACTCAAAAAACAAAAAAGTGCTAACTGAAACCCATATAGGACCAAACATTTACCAAATTCTATAAAAATTTCTTGAATTAGCAAGAATGCAAGAATTGTAGAGATCAAAACTTTCAATTTAAAACAGCTTATTTTTTATAAATGAAGAAAAAAATTTCTAACCATAAGGAGCTTTAGGAAGATCAACTATATCAGCTAAAGATGGATCCGATTCTTTCAGACTTCCATTGTGGGCAATAGCAAGATTAAGAAGTTCATCGGCAAATTTAAAACTAATTTCTGCACTATTTCTTTTAGCCTTTAATTAATTTAAATAATTTTAACGATTTTATAAAAAAATAAGTTGGTGCCATTTTTTAACATTGAAAAACATAATTTTCCCAAAAATGCAAGAATAATCTTTATCCAAAAGCAATAGAATTCTCGAAAACCTCTGAAAAAATCCTCTGATCAGGATCAGCAGCTGCTATACCCCATTCAGTATAGGTATCGTAACAAGGATTGAGTCTGAAGTATAGCAATATGCAGAAAATGAATAAAAGATGAAAAAAAATGCAAGGAAAAAGATGGAAAGAAAAAGAAAAAATGAATATAAGTAGAACACATTCAAAGAAAATTTAGATATAATTTTTCTGGACTAACTTTGAGGAAAATAAAAAAACCGTAGGAATAAGATAAAATAACAACAAACTTTGAAGCGATCTGATGAAGCAAATCACTGTTAGCGGCCAGACGAAATTCTGCATCATATTCTTCATCAGATATGCTGAAAATAACAGAAAATATATCAGACTTCAGTATTATTCTGATTACTCAAAAATCAAAACTTACAACAAAGCCCCTTTAAGATGCTCAAGAAGTTTCAATTTGTATTCAGTTAACATCCCTTGCGCGCGCATGGCTCGAACCACAGCACCAAACGCTTCTGATTCTAAAAAAAATTTTACGATTTTACGATTTGATCTTTTTCCTTAAATCAAAGATTTTAAATCGTTTATGTTAAGTCAAATAATGAAAAAAAAAACATTCTGATAAGTAAAAAACAGTTTAGCAAGTTTTATTTATTCTTATGAAAAAATCTTGACCAAAATCGACGAAGATACTGTATTATAGCAATAAAAAAGTAGCAACAACCTACCTAAAACATGAAGTAAATAATAATAATCTTCATCATCAAATGAACAATCTCCTAAATGACTTGAACCTGGTAATTGGCCATCAATTTCATCACTTGCTATTTTTTCACTATCCAAAGCATCCTTCTCATCTATTTTTTTTGAATTCATCTTTTTGAATTCACTTTTTACGAACTCTTTTGCAAAGACATATAACCTGAAATTATAATATTCTGAGTACATCGACTATTTTCGATGCAATTCATTCAATAGTCATATATTTGGCAACACAGAAGGTGAAAAAATGCAACATCACATATCAAAACAATATTATGCACTATAAATCATCTTATCTAATACAATCCAATTAGAACCACAGAACAAATTATTAAAAAAATATTAGCGAAATTTGCGCCATTCTTTAATAATTCAAGAAAGAAACCGTGAAATTGAAAGATATTAAAAATAACCAAAAAAATAACCAAAAAATATACAAATAACGAATAAATAAAATTAAGATTGATCAAAAATCACTGGAAAATTTAAAAAATGCTGTAAAAAAGTAGTAAAAGAATAGTTGTAATTGCAATAACTGCAGTTATCAAACAGCCAATCAATCTAACCTGTACGGCGGATATTAAAAGTGTTTATATTAACCTAAACATTGAAAAATAAAAAATTAAGAATTAAAAAAGAACAATTTTAAAAGATTATCCTCGCAAATTAAATATTAATATTAACTGCTCGAATATTTCAGTAAAACTGATAATGAATAAATCCAAATGTCGCATAATTGTAATTTAGAATTTTACATCACTGTTTAACCGTTTTCTGGTAAATTAAAATCAAAAATAAAAACAAAAAAAAACAAATCATAAAATATGTTATTAAGAAGAAAAAAAATGGGACTATTGATTGGAAATTCTTCTTGAACTATTCCCAATTTGCATAAAAATTTCATTTTTTGGACAAACGCTAATGATAGATTAAAAATAATAAAATGCTAAAATAAACAAATTTGTTCAAAATTTATTCGAAATTCAAATTAATTAATTTTTAAATAATTTTTCAAATTAAAATCAATTTTAAAAATGTGAGGAATTTTTGAGAAAAAATAATTAATTTATAAAAATAAAAAATGCCTTTCAAATCACATTTTCGCATTTTTCACAGAAAAATTTCATGAAAAAAGATTTCTAAAATTTAATAAGAAACACTTTTGAAAATGAATTTTTATATTAAGCGAAATTCCGTTTTTAACTTCTATTTTAATAAAATTTCAATAAAATTATTTAAAATAAAATTATTAAACAAGAAAAAATGAAAATTTCACCGAAATACACAGAAAACAAAAAAAAAGACACAAAGAACAGACTCAAAAGAAATTATTTAAATAACTTAAAAGTTTGGCAAAACACCAAGTTTTAAATTGCCGCCTTTATATATTTTTCAACGTGGAATACTGTACAGAATTACCGAAAATTCCACCATTTTCCAAATTCATCAAAGTTCGCACTGCTCTTGATTTGATTTGCTTTCTTCGACACATTTCAAGAATTAAAGGATGGAAAGGGGATTTAAATCGGTCTGAGACTGGAGTTACTTGGTACTGGATTGTGCCGAGTAGTCCATTCTTGGCTTGGATCAGACTCAGACGCAGTCGGCCGCAATAGCCTGATATTGTTTCCAGAACTGTGTAGAGAATTCAAAGCTTCATTCGCACTAATAATTATTGGAACGAATTCCCTTATGATGTGGGCTGTACAACTTTAAAAGAAAGCTGAACAGGGTCGTTGTCGGACTTCGTATATACAATTACTGCATTTTAAGGCCTTAAGGACAAGTCGAATTCTGTACGTGCGCTGACATTTATGATTTTATGTTTTTATGCTTTTCCTTGGTGTTTCTATTTAGTCGAATATATATCTAACCGTTTTCGTGATGTTGTAGCTTCAGGCGTGTGGCTGGTGGTCTTTGTTTAAATAAATAAATTGGCATCTATATATATGTAACATGATGAACTTGAAATTTAGTTTTGTCTCTGTATTTTGCGCATGTATAGTTGTGTAGTCGCGCTTTTTTTTTATGAGTACCGCTCTTGGTTCTGTTAATTAACACTGAGTTTTGTTGCCTTGCGGACTTAGACGTGGAACTATTTGCATCTTTTATTATTTTCAATTATCTTTTATTACTTTCAATTACTTTCAGGCATAATACTGGACCGAAGCATTTGAAAATACTTTATTCTAGTGGGATTCTTGGTGGAATCAACCGAACTGGTAATAAAATGATATTCGCTATACTGTAAAAAATTATTATTTTGTGCTCAAATTGATATCGAAGATTGTAAATGTTGAAGTGGTTTCGCGGCTGTGTGCCGAATTTTCCGTATATAAGCCGAACGTGGCTTAATTTGTGTGGCGTCCTGTGGTTCATCGTAGTGGATATTTTTTGAGAAAGACTGAATCGAACCAAGATGAGGTGGGTTTGTTTTTTCCTTTGCCGTTTATCCTTGTCACTATTTTTTACTTTTATAATTCACATAACCCTAAATTTTTTAAATTTGCTGCCGCGTTTCTTTGCTTTCCGCGTTTCCGCGTTTGTTGCTAGGATAACGGCAGCTAGAATTATGTTTTTCCGATTGATGAAATTTTTATGGAATTGTCGCGAAATCACCCATAAAAACGAAAATCCTAGTGATTCGAGCCTCAGATCCTCCCCCTCTTGCTGAATATAAAAATGTTAAAGAAATATCCGGATGGTACTAGCAGCTTCTATATGCGTACATCGCGAATTGATTCCTGTACAGAAGTATACTAATTGGCAGCGGACAATAGATTGTGGCGATAGGGCAGTCAGATATGGCGAATACGAAATGCTTTTTATTTTATACTTAATTATTACATTGGTTTCTTTAATTTTTTTCCCCTTCTAAATGGTTATTAAATTTATTTTGTTTTTGTTTGTAGTTGATATTTATTACTTTTAAATATTGTTTTATTTATCAATATTTATTACAAGGAGCTAATAAGATAAACTTATTGCCGGTTGAGGAAGTGCCCGACTCTAAATGCCTTGGATCCATTCTAATCTCAAATGGCCAGGCAAAGGATGAAATCGTTGCTAGGATAACGGCAGCTGGAATTATGTTTTTCCGATTGATGAAATTTTTATGGAATTGTCGCGAAATCACCCATAAAGACGAAAATCCTGGTCCATGCCGCAATTTGCTCGATCTTTCTGTATGGGTGTGAACATAGCCAGTGAGAGTGGAGGATGCTAAGAAGCTATCAACCTTTGACGACTCTTGTCTAAGATAATTTATGAGTCCGTCGAGTGGATAAAATCGCACATCATTGTATCCATTTTTGCCCAAATACTATCTTAAAAATCTGCGTCGCCTTCGCTGGTTAGGGCACATTTTCCGTCGTGCACCGCAGGAGTTGACGCATATTTCGTTACTTGCTAAACTCCTTGATGGTTAGCGCCAAAAGTGAGGTGGCCAGTCAAGATCTGGATATACAGTCAGGAAAGATTTTGAACGTATAGAGGGACCAGCGATATATGAACTCAGACGATGGAAAAAAGCAATGGCTTCTATTAGTACTAGCGATGGCATCGGACTGAGCAACTTGAAGACATCTTATTCTTGTAAGCATCGGAGCCTGCTTAACCAGTAATGGTGAGATCAGTTAGAAGAAGAAGAATCAATTTATTCAATTTTAATTTTGTTAGTAAAGAAACCCATCGTAATATTTTGTTGAAAATATGAAAAGAAATTAAGGCATATTTGGAAATTCCAAAAAATAAAATAGGTATTGCGAATATTTAAAGATCGCCTTCCTTATCTTTCTTTTATTTAATTTAATTTATTTTATTATATTATTTATTATATAAGATTTAGTATTTATTTGGCTTTCTCAATTTCCAATTTTTTTTCAATTTTTTTAGATTAGATCAGGTGAGATGAAGTTTATTCTTTTGTTTCAGTTGTTTGCGTCTGCAGAAGCGTTTGGCCGCTGATGTATTAAAATGCGGTAAAAAGAAAGTTTGGTTGGATCCCAATGAAGTTAATGAAATTTCAAATGCAAATTCGAGACAGAATGTGCGGCGTTTAATTAAGGATGGTCTTATAATTCGTAAGCCAGTAGCTGTGCATTCGAGGTATCGCGCTCGTAAAAATTTAGAAGCTCGTCGAAAGGTTTTTTTCTTTCTGTTGAAATTTAACCGTAGATGGTTGATTAAGGAATTTTTTTTCTGTAAGGTGGATTCATTAACGCGAATTAAAAACAAGCCATCACATGTTTTCTTTAGTTCAATTTTGGATATTTACATTTGGTCAGTTTATTTCTTTTTTATTTGTAATTCGACCACAAAATCTATTTAAGTTACTTTTTTTTAGGGTCGTCATATGGGAAAAGGTAAAAGACGTGGTACTCAAAATGCGAGAATGCCTGAGAAAATTCTATGGATTAGACGTATGCGTGTCTTGCGCCATCTTTTGAAAAGATATCGAGAAGCAAAAAAGATCGATAAACATTTGTCAGTAAATTTTTAATAATAATGATAATGTTTTTTTTGATTCATATTTCTGTTTTTTTTTTCAGATATCATGAATTATATCTTAGAGCGAAAGGAAATGCATTCAAAAATAAGCGTAATTTGATGGAATACATATTTAAGAAGAAAACTGAAAATACTCGTTCTAAACAGCTTGCGTAAGTGAAATATTATTATGATAAACGCCTTATGTGAGAATGCGAAAAACCCTGCAAGTTCTGTTGTGTTCTCAACCTCTCCGTTGAATTCCGTTACTTTTCCTCAGTAAGCTCATAAATCCCCTTTCATCTTTTCGTACTCTCTATCCCCAGTTTTCTCCGAAAAGAGAAGATAACCAACAATCTGTAAAAGCACGGCTGAAAACCTTGTGCTTTCCAAACATTTTTTAAAATGCTCACTTGAGATTTCACTTATTTCACTTCACTGTATATCTCAGCCATCTTAAGACATATTCTTGTTTCTTTGATTCTTCTGAGAGCTCGATTTTACTATCTAATCTTCTTTAAACTTTCCACAGATTTAGACATATCGTATCCTCTTAAACCTTGCTTCAAATTTCTCAGACTTTGAATTACTTTTTCTTATACATTTAACCCAAGATATGTTCTATTTAATCTCATTCTTTACTGAGAATTTTTCCCGTGTATATTTGCTCCAAATCTTAAATACCTTTTTTAATTGGCTTTTAGCATGCAACATGAAAAAAATTATGAGGCAGTAAGATTCATCCTGAATCAAAAAAGATTTTTCAGTGAACAGGCAGAGGCTCGACGCATTAAGAATAAAGAATCAAGGAAGCGGCGTGAGGAACGTCAAGCAGTTAAAAGAGCCGAAGCACTTCGTATTATATCAGAAAGTGAAAAAGATGTGAAAATTGGTTAACCAATTTCGCTCTATAATTTGTTTAATGTTTCCGTTTTCGTTCAATAAAATTTGTTATTTAGTTCCTTTTATCGTCAACAGTTGAACTCGTACTTCTTGGTTGAATTCTTGGCAAAGGTGTAGGTAATGGCAATGGCCTTACATAATTTTTTTCGCCGATGTTTTTTATTTCTAGATCAGAATTGCTTGATATTTTTTCTTCCGTTCTTAATTTTCCTGTGGACGAATTTGGGCTAATCGGTTCCATTAGATGATAATCATTTCTTTGGCGTTCGATAAATTCATCTTTTAGTTGAATTTCATCCTTTTTCTATAAGTGGATTTATGAAATTTTATGAAATTTTTCTTAATTTTTAAAAGGAATCTTGTATTAATTTTCCTATCAAAATAATAAGCATACATGAATTGTTTGACGGATTTCGGGCATTTGTCTTTCTTTATTATTGAAATCTGGTAGGGGAAAATGCGAATATTTAGCGAATGTATCGGATTGTACATCGTAACCGAGTTTTTTTATATCTTTGAGGACTGTATTCAGTGTTATATAAATGAAACCTTGAGTTCGTACTTTTGTTGCTAAAATTTTGTCATACATGACGTTGGTTCTAAATTCTCTAAGAAATTAAATTTGTTACTGATTAACAGTAAAGTCTAAAATAATTCTTTGGTAAGATGATATGTCTTTTTAAATCTTTTTACATAGCCTATTTTTCTTTATCGTTATTCGGAACAAAAGTACCTTGACGGCCGTCAGCATATGCTACGATACGCGGTTCTATGAACTCTGCTCTTCTTCCTGTAATCCACCCCAACCATTTTTGCATTATTGTTGATGCTTCCGGTACAAACATCGGTATTCGAAGAGTTTTTCTTAAGTTTTTGAAAAATGTCCTTTTTTGTTTCAAAAAAGTTAGGGGAAAACCGTTTAAATATCCAGTTTTATTATCAATGCTCTTCGTACTAGGCTTTCAACTTATGATTTATGGATTAATAATTATAGAAAGAAACCAATATTTCATTTTCTCTTAAGCATATTGTGGATTTCAAAAGAAAAAAACTCGGGCAAAGAAAATCAAACCTTCCAGGGGCAGTTGGAAGATGTATCGCACCATATCCTCTGGGGACATCATTTCCGAAGCAGTCCAATCCATAACAACTGATACATATTTGAGGCCCTGAAAGTAGATTATTGGATTTCATCTACTTTACTAACAATTTTGAAGTAATTTAGGATAGGAAAAAGTTCACTGCTCTTAATTATTCTTAAAAGCATTCAGCTGAATATGAATAGTACGAGGTTTAAAATAGAAAGAGTCACTTGAGGTAAGTTGCCCACAGCATCCACGCATTTTTAAATAATAGTACTGAATGTTATCAAAATCTCAAAATCATCTTAAAGTCACACTGTATCCATGCAGCTTTCCGATTCTAAAACATGAAAGTTTATGATTATTTACGATTGTAGAACTAACATCCATATGGATTTGTGGATGTAAATGTAGCTTCAAGTGGTAGTCCGACGACGATTTTGTCTTGCCTTGTTCCTTTCACACATTTAGCACTTATGCCTTCTTCAATTCCAGCTATTTGCCTCCAGTCGCTGCCATAAACGTAAGAGAATTTGCAGTAAATGTTATCGATAAGCGGAAACTAAGAAAGTTGTAAGCAATTAGCTAATGGTTTTTTTCTGGCCATGTGCTAGGTGTACTATCAAATATTGGATTAGATAAATGATCAAATAATGGATTAGATAAAATTTAAAGATGGAATAATTCTAATTTCGTGGCACTGACTCTGGGGTTCTATTCCATGGTGATTAAACATATTTTCAAAAATATGGGTTGGCGACCCATCTGTCTCCAAATGATTCCTTAGCAAATCTGTTCCGTCCAAGTCAGCAGAGCGAGATTGACCAGAAATGGAGATCCTCAAAAAACAAATAAAACTGTCGAGTCTTGAGAAAGAGATATTCGTCAGTTCTAGAGACTGACAAAAAACATAGCTTAGCTAGCGTAAGAATGCGCTGTGGCGATATTAGGCTGCACTCGAGCGGAGATGGATGCAATGTGATATATGAGAATTATGTCCCTTCGTAAAGCATACACATGCATTAGAGCAGTCAAAGGCAATTGGTTCTTGTACTAATGAAAAGAATGATTAGCGGTCGATTATATAAGTAATATAAGTACAAAATTAAAAAATTATTAAAATTTTGGACATAAAATCAGTGAAGTAATTATCACAAAATTTTATAATTGTTTGTTTTTTTGCCCATATCTAAATTACTGGTTTAAATATTTCATTGATCTCAAATGCACTGAAGAGTGGCAAAAATAAGTCTAAATTTTAAACCTGGCCATAATCGATTTGTCCTGTAATTAAAACGATGAACGAGCGATTGGTCGACATATTTCCTTCTTGAAATTTCACCTATAATTAGCTATTTTTCTCATAAGGCAAACTATAATATTATCATGCATTAGCTACTAGCTAAATTTTCTTAATGCTTGCTCATATTATATAACCCACACCAAATAATTCAGTTCAGGGAAATTGCTATAAATAGTTCCAATAGAGCGCAAATGGTGTAGTAGTATGATCGCTTTGAATCACGCCAAGTATTCAGTTCTTTAACCCTTAGAGGACAAAAAGGGTCCTGTCAAGATATCCAACTGGCGACTTACTTGCAGTTCTATTGCTAAATTACTCCAAAATTTTCTGGAACTAGGATAGCCAGCAGAGCTATTCACTCACTTTTTTTCTACCATGGCTCCAATTATTAGAAAAAAGATTGGTTGAAAATATTTTTAACTTCTACAAGGCCTTTTCATCGAGTGAAGTCTTAAAATTTGCCTGACGAAATATTTCAAAATTTACACCAGGTTTCCAAGGAAACAGAGAAATATATCGGGTGCAGCTGCTATTCCATCGATTTTATTAATTTCTGCAAAAATGGATCTGAATGAATAATGATCACTTTGTCTTTGCGGTTATAATCCATTATCAAACCTAGTCAAATGAAAACAATTTTAAATGGAAGTTTCAGCAATCAGCAATATTTCTTTAGTCTTCAGATTTCTTTTGAAATAACTGGTGAACCTGGAAACAACAAATCGATAATTTCCACTCATGAAGATTCAAATGAAAATTCTTATTCTTCTAACAGCTCTTATCATTACTGGCTAAGCTGGCTCCGCTGGCTATAAAGATAAGAGCGTCCACAAGCTGTTCGATCTGATGCCATCTCTGACAGTAACTGAAGCCATTCCTTATTTCAATATTCATCTCAATCCATATCAATGGTCCACATATACGTTCAACATATTTCAGTTCAATATACAGTATACTGTATTAATCTGAAACTATCTAGGTTTTGATTGGCCTTCCTTGCTTTTGATACTATTCATCATAGGATTTAGCAAGTAACAAAATAAATATCGTCTGTTGTGGGCGACGAAGAATTACCCTAATCAGCGAAGGCGACGTTGTATGATGGTAAATGCAGTTAATGCAGTAGGTGGTGTCTGAACGAAGATGATTGCAACCATGAGGTTTTATCTGTTTGGCGGACCCGTAAAATGTATTTTAAATATGAGAGGTCAAAGGAAGTTTACTCCTTAAAATCCTCCACTCTTATTGGCAATATTTTGCAGCTATGTAATAAGATCGAACGGATGGCAGCCTATCTAATTTTGCGACAACTCCATAAAGGTTTCACCAACCAGAAGAATTCATTTCTATCTACCATTATCCATATTGAACTTCGTTTTTCGCTTACCGTTTGACATTAAAGTAGACCCAAAATATTTACAGTCAGGCATTTTCTGAACCGGTGATAAATTAATAAAAATAGATACTATATCAACCTCTGATATATATAACGAAAGGCTTTTGTTTTATTTATATTTCCCATACTGAGTTCAATTTTCCCTGCATTTGCCAACATACTTTTTAGCATTATTTGCATTTCCTCGTAATTCTCAGCAAAAAAGACTAGATCACCAGCGTATTCAAGATCTGTGGTACAATGCTATGGATTGATTTGGCAGTTCTTTAATGTCGATAAGCAGTATCCAGTCTATCGCACAGGTGAATATTATAGAATAAAGCATGAACACCTTGACGGACACCAGTTATTTCGAAGGAGTCTGTCAGTTTCCCATATACATAGACCTGCTTCGACCTTCTTCGACGTAAAATGCCTTTATGAATAGAATGATCTTCTGTAGAAGACCGTCGCGTTCCAATCACCATCCAAAGCACCGTTCTATCAATTGAATCGAAAGCAGCCACAAAATCGACAAAACAGTGGGTACCGGTGACTCGCAGATATTTGAAGGTATGCTCCAACACTTCTTAACACCTGATAAGTGAATATTTGGTCAGCCCCATCCAGGAATCCAGATTAGTTAGCGCGCATTCTGCTATCTCACTGTCATATGCCTATTCAACAGGAGTGAAGCAAAAATTTTCCCAGAGATGTCTAGTAGGCTGATTCCTCGATAATTTTTGCAGTATGTCCTGTCATCTTTCTTGTTAATTGTGAGTATAATTCCTTTACTCCAATCATCTGCCATTATTTCTTTTCTTCCATAGAGTGCATTAAGACATGTTATGCATGTTATGAAGGAAGGCATTTGAAGAGCTCGGCATCAAAACTATTTTCTCCGGGAATTTTATCGATCTTAAGCTTCTGGATTACAAAGATTAATTTCTACTAGCGGTTCGTAATTGCAAACATATGGCTCGACGAGCAAATCAGCCATTTCTGTCTCATCATGGTTAAGTTTTGATTCAATTTAGCTTTTAAGGCGATCCTTAATAGCCGTAAAGGTCTTAATAAGCAAACCATTAATATCCCATATCATTTCACCGATCTTTTCTGCATTATAATTCATGAAGAATGCGGGATTTTTTTTATTATCGCCTAATCGAGCAACTGTCATTATTACATTATATCGATTTCTGTCATGATTTCCTGATATTCATATCTCGGCCAGTTGAATGTTGTTTCCGCTATCTAACTAGCATTTCCCACTAGTATATCCTAGTATGAAAGTGGCTGATTTTCTTGTCTTTAAATGGGACCGTTCCAGAGATATCATTGAGATATTTCAATAATTCGGTTTGAAATGTTTGTTCTGTCCTCGAATTTTTTAGTTTAAGATAGTTGAAAGATTTTTTAGTTTCATATCCTGAGAGGCATTGTTTCTTGCGATTTGTCACTTTTTTGCGAATCTTGGAACCATAACATGATTTTGGTCCATGAAGGATACCAGTTTTAGCGCTGCGATAGGAATGGCTATCTAGTACTTTGGAATATTGGTTATCGGTTATTCGGGACTAAATTCACGTGATTAAATTCTTCTTCGATGTATGATACATTTGTTATACGCAAATTTGTAAATCAATTGAAAATTTAGCCTTCAAATTTTGCTGTTGGTTATTTTTCAATTTTTTGCCATAAACTATTCATTTTATCGCCACTTTTCTATTTCATTGTCTTGACTCGAATAAAGTTTCCTGTTTTTTCTCTTCTAAGTAACAGGCAGAATCTTAACAAGTATGACAATACAGTTTATTAAGAACTGCAAGAAATCATGAAATTCGAGCTTTTTTTTCACGTTTATACATCAACAGAAATAAAGCATAAAATACAAAATATGAATACCAATTATTATCAACTTGTACAGTATCTAATGAAATAAATATGTTGCATTGTATTTTACTGCAAATATTCATAAATATTCATTAGACCTCCTTTAATTCATTAGACCATTAGACCTCTCTAGTGTTTAATTTAAATTTTTAATTAAATTAAGAGTATTTATAACATTCATTGCATTCTGCACATCTTCGATATCAGTCATTATTAAGTGAAATCAAAATAAGTCGCCTGCATATTGTATAGTTTATCTATTGGATTTGTCAATTCCTTCAGTTTTTCCTCGTTACTACTATTTTCATTTTCTATTTCATCAATCGATTCCAGATCTAAAAATAATGTAATACTGTTACAAAACCATGGAGTGAAATTCTTCTCGTTATTTGCATTTCCTTATTCCAATTTAGGAAATGGAGAGAAGCAACAGTCGAGTGGTATTGCTTTCATTGCATGGTGCGATTCCTCTCCAGACAAGAATGCCTGCCAAAGAAAGCGAAACCCGTTTAGTGCTGGAGATTTTTCTACAGTTTTACCTCCAAGTGACTAACTCTTTGGCGAAAATGCCTCTTATGCCTCTAATAGCCAAAATGCTGAATATTGTGCTAAAAAAAAGTTGAGGATGAAAATATGAATTTAAAGTTCAAAGAGGAAAAAATTAGCCTTTTTGAGATTAAAATTATTATATTAATCATACTTATTATTTGCTTTGATTCTTAAAAATTTAAAAATACTTCTAGGCGTCTATTAAAATTTCACTATATTATCGCCTTATTAATTAGTTCGCTTGAAAGCTATAAGCGATAAAATGTGATCATTTGTTCTTCTAAACACCAATTCTTCCTTGGCTGCCCTACTGGCTGATAATATGACGAACTTAGAGAGGAGTTAATTGAGATAAAGACAGTAGCCGAATTTCATTTTTATTTTTTTGAAAAGTTAAGGGAGAATAGACCCTATGATGCTATGATGCCTTCAGCTGAAACAATGTACCGTTCATCCATCTTATCTCTCTCTTATGTACTCATTTTTGTCATACAACTAATAAAAAAGCCAAGAACCATCGTCTGAATCCAAGTTAGATTTCGAATCATCGATAGATTTTGCATCACTTTCTGGTGGAACAGTACCATTCACTCTTGTCATCTCTTGCTTTCGTAATATTTTTTTCATCTGAAGTTTTTTTTTCATTTATCTCTTGATATTTTTCTTGGGAGATCGGCGAAAATGCTATAATTTGTTTGCAAAAAATTTTATTTACTTTACTCACGTAAAAATATTAAAATTTATATTTTTAAATGGCCTCTAGAATTTGTTAGCAGTGTGAAAAAACCAGCCTTCGCTCGTTGATTTTGGAACCACACCTGAACAACTCGAACGCTTAGGCCTGTTTCCTTCGCCAATTGCTCTCGAATCTGCAGTTTATCAATTGGCCAACTTTAAATAACTCATAATAACTGAACAGCGGATCATGTTCTGTGCTTCACTATTTTTATTCATCAAATTCGAATTTCTTCAGTTTCTAAGTTATTTTAAAAAAAGAAATTCAAAAAAAGAAGTTGCACCTTCCTGCACGGTTTCGCACTTTTCTCGAAGGCAACCTTAAAAGCCCTTCTCTGTTGAGTATTCAAAATTGTCCTTGGCCGTTTTGGCGTTTTTCGACCCATTTCATTTTGTTCCACATTAAAATATACTAAAAATATATGTCAAATAACGAAAAAGCGCTTTAAAGAAGAATAATTAATTAATGTAATTAACCATGATGGTTTAATACGATTCAGCTTGGATGTTACTGGTATGATGGCTTAATAAAGTAAAACCTGGATGCAAGGCTTGATTGCAGAGAAATATCTCATAATCGTTACGGCATATAATCTGACCATTGATTATCAAATACTGGTCTCCTTTTTTCAATAAATGACTACAGTATATACAAGAAAAACAATTCGCATGATAAATGCTGCTTAAACATCGAAATACAAAGTCATTGGGTTGAAGGGCTATGCCGCATCTTGTGCATTTTGTCGCGAATAGCCTGAAATAACAAGCCAATGAAAATAGGATATCAGTTGCTCCAGGTGAAATTGTTACAAAATTGTTTTTGCTGGCCTTTAAATCTAAACCACTATTCTAAAGTAAAATAAAATCAACCTAATTATTTTAAATGCTTTTTAATTCCTTAGATCTTTGAGCTAAGCAATTAAAGTCATGCTCATGGTCTATGCCGAAGAAAATAACGCGTCTTTAGTGGAATTATTTTATGGAAAAAGTTACTCAATCATTCGAAAATCAAATATTAGTTGAAATTTCAGCGTGAAATTCTTTTCATCCAGATTGAAAAAAAAATTGCAAGCAATATTCAATAGTGGCTTTTTTACCATTGTATTAATAGTCAAAAGTGATAAGATTCGAAAATGATAATATTAAAACATATTAAAACTATTCTAAGGGGGCAGTATTCAAAAATGAATATTCGAATCGTTAAATATACTAAAAATATATGTTAAATTTTTAACAATTGATTAAAAATAATCTAAAATACGATAAAATGGCTTAAAAAACTGTGTAATCGAAAAGTAAATTCAATGAGAGACAAAAATCTCCGAGAAAAGAAGAGAAAAATCCTAGAAAATTCCAGGAAATAATAAAAAGTGAACATTTCACGAGAAACGTGGATCAAGTTCGAGATTCGCTTGTTAAATTTGATTCCCTATAATCGGTCTTATCTCGGAATTTAACCAATGTTTCTATTTTTTGCCTTAAATTAGTCTTCGATAATTTTGCGCATAAAATTTAGCTGAAGTTTTGAATATCTTGAATTAAGTTTATGTTTTTTCATAAATTTATCTGCTTTTCTATTGACTTTCAAAGAAAAATTGACGAAGCTGCGATTTCTTTATCGACAAACTGCTATAGAGAGAGGTGTGATGCAAAATTTTGATTTTTAAGTATTATATTATTTCATTATATAATAATACTAAAATAGTTGCAGAAGATGTGGAGATAAGAGGATTGGCAGCTGTTCCCTTAAGCGGCTTATAAAGCTATCAAAAGCTGATCATTGCAAGGGTCAAATACACTTCATAAACACTACACTTCATGTTCACAACAATAATCTGGCTTTTATCTTTCCTTCCTGCATTAATTTCTAACCTTTTTTTATTTCCTCATATAAAATGTTATCGTATCACTCAAAATATAGCAAGTGATCTTTTCTAAAACATTTCATTCTAATCCACAGAATGTTAATTTTTCTAAAAACCATATCCGAAAAATACTAAAACTGTAGAAAGCCAATTTAAAAAAAATTTGAGAATTACTACTTTAGTCCTTTTTGATGCAAAATTTTGAAGCGAATTAGATAGAATTAGAATTAGAATTATTTTAGAGCGAATCTTCCTTCCTTGCATTTTATTCTTCTTCTAACTGCATTAACAATTTCTGCTTGGATGGCCCTACTGGCTGTTAGGATGGAAATTCTCCGAAAGTCATTTAAGGATAGGAAGAAGGATAACTCCTCCTTGGGTTTCATCCTTGTTGACATATTCGGTTTGGACACACTAGATCTGATACTGCCAAGGGAACAAAAAATAAACCTACATTAGCTCTTTCTAAACAACGATCAATCACATTGTTGGTGATCAATTTCTCATGTCAAATCTTATCACTAGAAGCTGAATCACTTAATATTGTTGCGAAATGAGCTTAACATGTCATTCTATATATATTCTATATATATTTTCTATATATCACAGCTTTATGGTTGAGGTAATTAAGGTAATTTATTTGACAAATAATTTATTTGATAATAAAGAAGCTAGATCGGTATTACTGTTATTGTCAATTTCTTTCATTCGATGGCAATTTATTGGCCATGGTCTGACTGCAAAATCCATATATGATTCTTGAGGTTCAAAACGAATGATCGACATTCATTGATGTAATTGTCAATTGAGAGTGATGAGCGAATGTCCTTCATAAATATACAAATATTGTCATTATTAAATTTCCTCCAACGGTTATATTGATTTAGCCTTTGTTTCTTATCAAAAGGGCCAAAAATAGTTTCATTTAGTTTCTAATTATTGTCAACTCACTAAATGAACTACCATCGAATTTGAATATATACCATCACATTAATTGATTTTTGACTAAAACCGGGTAAAAAAAATAATCTACGAACATGATTCTCTCCATCGTTTTATCTGATTTTATTTGTTTTCAAACGGCTGAAATTTTCCTTATTATCGGAGATTATTCAGTAAGCAAACATTTGATAAACATTAATTGTTGAGAATTTAATATCTTAGCTAATTTAACTTGAAAATTAATAGTCAACAAAAGCTATTTTAGAAATGCTCTCGCTCGTGAATCTTGACAGAGTGCAATCAGCATAGGTTGTTCCTTCTTGCGCTCACATATTAGGAAAAAGCCTGTTATTTAAAATGAAGTTTAGATGATCCTGAGGACCCATCTATGTCTCCATCTCTAATTGGTCCTCTGTTGTAGGTGTGGATACAATGGTTGATCGGCATAAGGCTTAGCCATTATAGATTCGATTTTCTTTTTTTTACGAGAGTGAGCCTGTCGTTAAAGATAAAACTCGAATAATGTTAAGGAATCATATGTAATTCTATTCCTAAGTGATTTTCTGATCTCTGTGGTCGGATCAGACAATTTTGCCACTTCTCTGCGGAAGTACATATGAATCGCCAGCATCAAGAAATTCTATAGCGGAGAGGACTCATCCTGAAAATAATTATATATGCAATGAATAGTTTAACTGCTTAAAATTTGAGACGAAGGATGAGAGAGACAAAATGTCAAATAAAACCAATAGAATTGTGGAACTAGGGATATAAATTGTAAATATGCGAAAACAGAAATTATCAGTGATCATTTATGTAGATTAAAATAATTAAAATAAAAATGTCGTTTAACATTCTTCATCGTGTCAAATAGCAGTGGCATTTGCATGCCTATTGAATAAATTAAGTAAATTTATAATTGTGCGAAAGTTAATTATTCACAGTTCCAAGTAAAATTATTAGACTTTTAGTGATTTTCCAAAGAAATTTCTTACATTTTAAGTTAACATAAGAGTGGCTTTGCAATTATCAATGATAATTTATTTTTTTAATTCTTACTTAATATTAAATTGGCTGATCCAATGTTTAACAAATGACGTACGATGAAAACACATTTATAGTTTTTTCTTTTTTTCAGGAAAATTTCAAGACAAAAAACTTATAGGTGATTTTAATTTATGTTACAATATTATTCTTTAAAAAGAGGCAATATGAATTCTTTTTAAATTAATGTGACTCATGGCCAAATAGATTTTAAAAGTCTTTGTCGAACCAGCTGATTTCGGCCAATAATTCATCAATTGAAACAATAAATATAATAAATTTCCTAGCTATCGCGCGTTCGTCTATGCAAATATTAGCGAAATCTCATAAAAAGAATAGCTTGAGGCGAAAAGGAAACATTAGAGCCTGTGCAAATAACGTAAAATAGCCAATTTAGCTGATTTTATTGCATCTATTAGGGGGAACACATTTGCCATCTCCATTTAATCACAAAATTCTGCTTCAGCCATGCAAGAAAGAATCCAAAAATGTCGCCAGTACTATATTTCTTTCAATCATTTAGCGGATAAAAGGGGAATGCGAAAATTTTTGCGCAGAAATCTGTATTGAAAGGATCAATCTTTAATTAGATGTTTTATTAAAAGTAATATTCGAGATTATCAGAAACCTTAAAAGTTATTAATTAATTATTTGTAGCATCTCATAAGAAATCTTATAAAAATATGTTCAATCGTTTTCACATTTTTAATAATTTTTTTCTTTTTTACGATGAAAAATAGTGACACTAATAGATAGGAATCAAACTCAAAATAAGAAAAAAATTCTAAAACAATAAGCACCAATCTGAATTGTTTGTTATAGGTCCAATAATAAAACGCACGAATTGGCTCACAGGTCAATAAAATATATATATATATATATATTTGATATTCTTGTGACATTTATACAATAAGATAAGATATAAGGACAATTGCCTGCTTAATCTTTGAAGAATCTGTGAGGAGAAAAATGATGGAGATTTTACTAATAGTATTGTCGCAATGTTGACGGGTCTTTTATACTTCTATCGCCAACTGATTCTTTCAAAAAATTTTGGCAAACTATCGGAGAAAGATAAATGACCTTTAGAAAAAAAAAACTAACTGAAGTTTTTTAAGAGTTGTAAATCCTTTTAATGTTGGAGGTTAATGGCTCACAGACAGTTTGGGAAAAAGATTTTTCAGAAAAAATTTTGTTCAAATAAAGATTACTTGACGAACTTAAGAATTTATTTTATTCTATTGAAAGATGATGAAAAATTTTTTTTTGATGCGTATCCATCTTTAATGTTCAAGAATTCTTCGCGAAATTTTTTCAAAATCCTATGACATGAATTTCAAGATTCATAGAAATGAAATGAAATAAATTAGCGATTAATAGTAGTTATTAAGTATAAATAAATTTACTAAAAATTGGAACAAAAAAATATAATACAATATAAAAATATTATATATATATATACGAATAAAAGATTATTAGAAATGCATCAAAAGTGCCTTTCCTAAATAAATTTTTAAAATTAAGAATAAAAAACAACACCGTCAAGAAAATTTAAATTACTTAAATTTTTCAAAATTTTTAAGATTTATATATACTTATTTAATATGTAACTATATATAAATATATATACTTGTTTAATTGGTTGAAATAGTTGTAACTCTTAGAAGCATCAAAATTAAAACAGATGTTAATCGGAGAGAGGTGGTGGAGGGAGAGGGGATGTAAAAGTCATAATCATTTATTCAACTCTTATTAGTGGATAGATATGAGCAAGTTTCGAACTGTCAAAAGTTAATCAAAATTTTTACATTGAAAATAAAATTGTAAAAAATCAACTATAAAATCAAGTTAGATCCATAAATTAATTAGTTTAGTGAACTGGATAATCTGGCTAATTGGTAGGTCAAATTAATAAAAGTTGCTGAATATTATAATTTGGAAAATTGGTTTTTATGGAAAAGATTTCTTGTGATGTCAAATATTCAATGAATTTCTTTTTAGATTTTCTCAATAAAATGCATCGATTATCCAAACTAAGTATTGCAAAACACGAAATCTTTAAAGATTCAATAAGAATGAGTAAAATCTTGATGAAAATTTCAATGAAATTAAAATTACTGAGCGTGATCCTCTCGACAATAGATTTGGCCATTTTTGATGAAACAAGTCGAACTGCTCAAAAGTTTAACATGACAAGCTGAACATTTCAGACAGTTTTCATGCCAAAAATCGTCCATTATCTGCCAATAATAATAATCTACAGATAAGCAGAGATTATTATGAAAATTAATATCATAGTTGAGCATAATTTAAGGAATAATGAACCAGGATAACCAAATAGGTTCATTTAGAAAGGCATTTTAAATAAATACCACTTGCATTGCTATCAGTCATTGTTATTGCTAACAATGCTATCAGTCGCCTTCGCTGGATTGGACACGTTCTTCGTCGCCCACTACAAGAGTTGATATTGCGTTACTTGCTAAACCCTGTGTTGGGTGGCGTCAAATACTTTAGGATTATCTGAATCACCTTGGAAATGTCTTACTATTGTAGCCAGTGGAGCCAGCCTAACCAGTAATGGTGAGAGCTGTTAGAAGAAGAAGGAGAAAGGAATTCTATAAATAGAAAAAATATCAAAATATTTTGAGAGAGTCAAATTATTAGTAAAATTCGTTCAAATTGATTTATCGTAATTTAATTTTAAAATTCCCAAACATGTATGTAAGAATAACTTTCAGAAGGTATCTTTCTCGTATTTCATTGCCACATCCACTGCAAATAGCGTTTTCAATGCACATTCGAAGAGCAGATGTTTCAGGATTATCTGAATCACCAACCGTGAATTTATAGGCATCTTTATACTTATTTATTTGTTGAGGTGCCTTAATAAGTTTGAGTAGTTTGAACAGCATCAAATAATTAATCTTCAATTTATTCCTAGCGAAAGTTAATAGTTCATTCACGGCAAGTAGAAAATAATTGGCATCATTATTTCCGGTTAAGGGATAGAATGGCTCATTGGGTTGTTGCTCGGGCGCCAATGCTGAGTATTCACTAAACTTGACCAAAAATTCAGGCGATGCTAGCGACTCACCTGTACTTCTATCGCCAAGGGATATTTGTCCAGTGTGACAAGCCAGCGAAGTGTATTTAACCAGTAATGGTGAGGACTCTTAAAAAAAAAATTTCTGGTTAGATTTAGCTCAGCTATTTATATATTCAGAAACTTTTGCTAAAATCAATTGGCGATGGAAATATAGTTGTTGGCAATACCACCCAGATCTTTCAATGACTTTAATATTATAAGATCTAAGAAAACAGCATTAATCTAAATTCAAAATTGCCAAATTCATTAAAAGAAACCATAAAACACAGGTAATTTTCCCACAAATTGCATAGTAGGCAAAAAATTTGGAAAGAGGAAACGATGAACAATGAAAAAGGATTCTATTAATTTAAATCATTTCATTGCAGAGTTTTGAAGTTTTACCTAAAACTTTAATTCTACCACTGATTTATAAGTAAAATTTTCAATCATTAGTCAGTCAATAATAACTTGGTGAATTTTGTAGCTAAAACATTAAAAAAATTAAAGAAACCTTGATGGCCAAGTTGACGATCGCAGCATTATTATTTCCAACTAATTCCGATTATCAAAAAAAAACAAAAAACCACTCACCAAAAGATTGTTTAGAAAACATAATTATGAATGAAACGAATAACAAAAAAGTACAAGTTAAAATGAAAAACTATAAAAAAAAATATAACCGCTTCTTTGTAGAGCGAAGGACGATTCACCAATTGCTGGTATCGGACGGCTAATATGTATTAAATGACCACCACAATCACTAAAATTCATTTATTTTTTGATTTTTCAATGATTTTGGTCCACAAATTTTAATATATTGATCTATGAAGTCCTCATCCCTGCAATAAATTTTAAAATTTTTTCTCTAAAAAACATCAAGAAAACCTGGCGCATGAGACAAGAAATCCAATGGATAGTAGATAAATATGAATGTTAAAAAAGAATTCGTAAAGAAAGCATAAACAAAAAATTTATTTTAAATAAAAGATTATATAAAAGATTATATAAAAAGATTTATTTATGAAATGAAATAACTTGCATTATTCTTTTTTTTTATTATTCTTTCGGAATGTACTGCGATATTGCAAAAGTAATCTACTGGAAAAGTATTTTCTCATAAAAAGGCCCACATTCTGGTTGTGCTACCTACAAGAATAAGGATAAGGTAGAGAGCTATTCATAAATGAAAGTTCGTCATCACTCGGATTTCACTTTTACTGTCTCTGTTCAAGGGATAAGAAGAAAAAACAAGGACAGATATCTTAAAGCAACGTTACTCGACCAGAAGAAACCACTCAGCAATTTTTTTTGTAGAGAATAGATTAATATAGATTTTATGAAGTTAATGCTTTCCATAAATATAAGAAAATGTTAGTAACGGACAATATATATATATATATATACTGCTATATTTTTTTTTCAGCTGCCATGGCCCACAATTTCAAAAAAAGTTATTAACAATCACGAAAAAAATAATAATTAATGGCTACCATAGACTCAATTCTCCATATCCTAGTGGAATGATCCAAAAGAAAAGCCAGAAAGCTGCTCGATGAAAAAAGAACTTAAAATTATTTCTGGCATTAAGGGAGATGTTATTTTAGCATTCTACAATGAATAAAGCAAAAAAACCTCTCATAATTTTAGGTTATCTAAAGCTTATCATTATTACTGGAATTATATACTTTAATAGAAATATTTCAGTCTCAGAAAAAAATATTTCTATCCAAAATTTCAGTCATTGAATACATATAATGAGATAATAATAAATACCATGCGCGTGAACCAGTTAAAAAACCAAACAATTAGAGATCTCATAAAAGCGTAGACTTTCTCAATTTAAAAATTATTTATGTTAAAAGTAATTCGCCAATGAATACACGATAGCCATCTCCATTAAAAAATCTTTTGTTGAAAAGATTAACGAAATTTTCTTCTTGCAACAGCTCACCAACAATTGACTATAGTCATTTCTGGCTCTACTGACTATTGGGAAGAGACCTTTTTGCCAGCCAGTCATAGTTGAAAGCATAATTACAAGTGGATTTTTAACTAACTAGAAAATTTCGAAAATTGATGCGATCTCATACTTCTCATTATTTGAGAAATATCATAGTAAATTTATCACAAAAAACTTAAAATTACCTATGTTCATGAGAAAATATATCTCAAAACAAACATATTTTCCCAGAAGTTATCACGACACGTGCTTGCTCCTCTTTTAATCTTAAGTTATCTATTTTAACTAATTTAACTATTTTAATTCAATTAATTTAACTAATGTATTTGCTTTCTGTAGAGAAAAGAAGGATTGAAATAATCAGCAGAGCCAAGATTCTTTATTCTTATCATAAAATCTGCAGGTCTGCAATAAAGAAACCTAGCATCGTTTCATTGATTCAGTGCAACTCATGATCCAGCGATTAAATGCTTTTATAAAGGACATAAACGCAATAATTGAAAAGTTCGAAGCAATCATATTGCAGCGAATTTAATTAAAAATTAATTAAGAAATCATTCTCCAAAAAAAGGAAACAATTCTCAAAATAACCTTTGCATATTTGAGGATTGAGCTGTTTTCAGAAGAGCACGTTTAGCGCATTTTAGTTGAGTTGGTATCATGTTATTACAGTAGATTATCGCATAGAACCTCCCCTTTAATGTAATTGGTTGAGATTAATATCGATAAAATCTTAACAAAGGCCTCGTCGATGACGAAATTTCCACTTATCCTTTCCTGAAGGCACAATTTCACTCAAAATCATCAAACAAATGAGTTCAAACTCGATCGATCGCTTCGCACTTGCTTTTTCATTTAGGAGAATGGAATATACAAAAAATAATCTCTTCTTTTTTTAACAGCATATTCGTTATTATTCGTTAGTTTGGTTGAATCTATTTTCTGATAGGATAAGAATTGCTTGAAGAGTTATTAGAAATACGAGTGGATCTTTTGTTTCAAATAAATCAGTTTAGATTTAACATTTTCTACATAATTAGCCATACTTTTTCTAAAAAGTGCGATGGGCAATAAAAAGAAATTAATATCATTGGGCAGAAATTGTCTTAATCAAGATATCGACAAAAAATTGTCAGAAAAAAATTAAGCTAGTGATAATCTGAAAGAATTTCCAGATGGGAAATTGTGATAAAGTATTGATTTGTGAGAGATTTGCTCAGAAACTCTACTTATTGCCACGGTATTCGTTGAGATTCGGTTTTTTTGCCACTGCAAATTTTTTCTTAAAATTAGATTCATTATCAAATTGCAACTGCTTTTTTATATTCTCTTCAAATGATAACTTGAATTCGTAAAAATTATTATTATCTTTTATTTCGTGCCTTTAATGCATGTGGTTGTTGAATTGAAAGTTTTCTTCATTTGGTAGATTTGCGTAGAAGATTGTAAAGAAAAGGTGCGTTTACCAGCTTGAAGAACGAGCCTAATTGATAAAAAGCCAGTGATTAATCCAACCAAAGATAATGGGAAAAAGGTACCAAATCTTCTAAAAATAAACCTTATTTCAAGTTCCTTTGCGAATAGCGAATAAATATTCAATAATCAATCGGCAAATAGCTGAAATAGTAATGCCTACTCGCGAAAATTTTGAGTAATTTTTCAGGCTGTTTATTATTCAAATTTATAACCAATGGCTTGTGGTGTGATAAATGCTATACGTGCATAACATCGATTAAAACGATTAAAACGATTATGCGATCAGATATAAAAAAAAGAAACTAGGACAACTATGGTGATCTTAATGAGATAAATGATAACAGATTGATTTATTCTCTCATTTCGATATTCATAAACTATAATTATAACTGCTATTACCACTGGTCAAGATAAATTGAAAATGCATTTAAGCATTTTGCGCATGAAATTGGTTTATTAAAATGACAAGAATATAATTCAGGAAGTTTGGTTTGTGGCATGGTAGCCGAGTTATTACTGTTAGATTATAATATTGATAAGTTTCAAATATTCAGAACAACCTCCAATAGGAGTAAGCTTCTCATTAATTTAGTGGTACATAGAATTTAGTGGTACTTATTTATATTTTTTTCAGCGAGTGACTCCATAGCAAAACAATTCGCTTGGAAGGAAGCCAACTAGTAATAAAGATCTAACTGCTTCAATAACACGATGAATCGAATTTGTTTCCTAAAAAAAAGAAGAATGTTCAGGGTAACATATTTCTTATTTTTGTAACAAATTTGCCATTTAATTTTCTAAAGAAAATTTATTTGTGAAAATTTTGCAAAAAATTTCATAAAAATATTCAGTACATAATGTACCTCTGAAAATATTTCTTCATTAAATCAAAAATTTGCTGAACTGTAATCTCAGCAATAACCATCGGATCGCACCATAGTCGGAAAGAGTTCAGTGGTTTGTATTGAAATAGCACATGGCAATATTGGAGCAGTTCCAGCAAATCCAACCTCGCTAATATATAAATATTTCGTTGAAACCAGTACTGATGTGCATTTTAGAGATGTCATTGATCGTTAAAATTAAAATATTCCGATATTTCGAAAATGTACTTTACATTTTACCTTGTATTTTACTATATTACCTTTGATAAAATTACCAAATAATTTTTTAAATATACACAAATAACACTCACAAAATCAATCGTGAAAAATGGAAAAACTCACAAAAGACTGACGTGATAAGGTCAATGTAAGTCAAAATATTTCGAAAATGTGCTCTTCATTTTACCTCATATTTTACTATATTACTATCTAAGAAATCAACAAGCACTCTCAATGATATTCGTGTCCATAGCAGTTTCAAGTAAATAGATTTTTCTTTTTTTCACCATTACTCGTTAAACTGGCTGCACTGGCTACAAGAGTAAGACGTTTCCAAGCTGCGAGATGCCATCGTCGACAGTAATAGAAGCTACTCTTTTTTCCATTGTCTAAATCCATATATTACTGGTCCACTATACGTTCTAAAAATCGAATGAATCATAGCTTTATAGATGCGGTCTTTCGCTTTTATGGTGATTTCACAACAGCTCCATAAAAGTTTCGTCAACCGGAAGAACTCATTTCTAGCTGCTATGATATAGGTTGTAATTTCGTCTTTTGTCTGGCCATTCGGTATTAGAGTGGATCCAAAGTATTTAAAATCGGGCATTTCTTCAACCAGCAATGAAATTTTAAAAAGAAATTACTTTATTAGCTTCTTACATATAAGATGAAAAAACTTTTTATTGTATTCACGAGTCCGATTCTTAATGCAGTTGTTAAGCAATATTTGCATTTTATTAAAACTGTCAGCAAAAAAGACTACATCATCAGCCTATTCAAGATAATATTATAAAGCAAATGGATTACTGTCAGTTAAAAATATCACTGCATGCAACTCAACCTTAGATCGCCACTAGACAAACATTTGATCCTTGGTAAAAAAAAAGGAAGTCATGGGGCTCGCCATTTCTATTTAAGCTAGTAGATGTTAGATTCGAATCTTTGGATAATCTCTTAAAGAAAAAAATATAGATGAACCCCCAGTATTTAAATATTTGCATGATCGATTGGCTCTTTTTGGAGGCAAAAATCGAAGTACTTTCCAGATCTAGGCCATCACTCATTCGGCTATCTTCGGACTATCCCTGCTAAACATATGCAAAGTTGTACATAAATTTTTATGTTCAAACTGAGCGTAACTCTTTTTCAAGAAAAAATATTTTCCAATAGATAAAATAAAGAAACCAAATCAAAAATCAAATATCTTGCATTAGATCTTTTTTTTGAAATTAAAATATTAATTTAAAAATAAATTTCTTTTGCATTAGCATTTGAACTGAAACTGTGGTAAGAAAATTAAGCGAAAATAATTTCAGAGGTAAAACTGGTAAATAACCATGATATCGAAGAAAACAAATGCAAAAGAATGGTGTGAGCAATGCTATTTAAGTACCTCACAAAACAATAGTTTTTACGGAATTTCAAAATTTTTAGTAACGATTAAGTTAAATTCTTCCAAATTTCAAAAATTTTAAATTTAAAAAGAATTAAAGTAAACCAAATTAAATTATGTATACATATATTTAAAAAACCTCTCAGCCGCTGATGGTAATCTCTGATATTGTTTCCAGAATCTGCTAAAGCTATTTTTCTAGGCCACATTCCTAGTGTTCCAATTATCACTAAAATTGTTTTGGCCTTTATTTTACTTCTATAGCTTTTTTTTCAGGCACTGGTATTTCGCTAATCGCTAACTTTTCATAGTCTTTCCAAACGTTTTTATCACTTGATATCGCTATCACCTGTGCTGATTTCTGATCGCTACCATTATATCTGGCTGATTGGTCAATACTTGTATGTCTGAATGAAGATATCCCACAAGATTTTAGTTTTCTTATTCTCTACAGTAATCTCAGGAGTTTCCCAACAAAGCTTAAGAAGGTTGCGATGGTAAGCTATTTGCCATTTGCCATTTGCGAGCAGATATTCCCGTAGATAATGCTAGCTATTTGGTTTATGCCTTTAAGCGGTTAGTGTTGCTCCTGCTTTCTTTCTACATCCTGCCTCTAGATGCTGTCTCTAAGGCGTTTTTGTACAATCTAAAATCTTGTCCATAACGCGGAGTAAAATGGCTTAGCGATTGTCATATCTGACAAAGCCCATTCCGCTTTGATTGAGTAAAAACAAGTAAACAACCGTATGGCCCGTTTTAAATATAAGTTCTTCAATATTTCGGTCTCATCTTTGTCGGCAGATCACGTGATAAAAATAAATTCTATGCGGAACTTCAACTTCAATTGCTAAAATTTCCACCAAAACATGATAATAAATAGCAATGACTTTTCTGGAATAGCAAATGAATACCGGCCCAAACTAAAAGAATGTCTCCGAAAGTCAGCTAGGGCATAATAGCGTAGTTGGGTATGGGAAGAAACTGTCTAGTTATTTGAAAACGTTGCCAATGCACGAATGTTAGGTGATCCTGACTACCGGATGCCTCAAGGATTTGCAACGAAAGCAGCATAGTCGGGGAACGAAATGGTAAGGGATAGCAATGGTGTGCCTGTTAAGAATATTAAGGATCGCCTCATAAGATGGAAGGAATTCTTTCTTTGAGGCCAAACTTAACCATGATGTGTCATCTGTTGACTCGGGCATAGTTGATTCGCTCATCGAGCCATAAGTTTGCAATTGCGAACCGCCAACAGAAGAAGAAATAATTTCCGTTATCCATAAGCTTAAGGCCAATATGCTTCTAGTTGAACTCTACATATGTTATCCATCGTCCTTCATAACGCAAAAAGTGAACAAATTTATTTTATGATATGGAAGAAAATATTACCAGATGACTGGAGTAAAGCAATTATGCTTCCAATTCCAAAGAAAGGAGGCACGGCATACTGTAACCAGACGTCTCAGCGAAAATTTTTGATTCCATTTTACGGATAGACTTATGACAGTGTGGGACAGCAGGATATGCCCTAATCAAGATGGATTCAGGTCGAGCGCGATTGTGCTGACCAGATATTCACGTCAAAAAAGATGTCGGAACATCACTTCAAATATCTACAACCCATTGTTGTATGTTCATCGATTTTGCGGCTGCTTTCGATTCAATTGCTAGAACGGTACTCTGAAGAGTGATGGAGCGTAATGGTATTCCAGAGAAGATCATTCGACTCATAAAGGCATTTAATCAGCGTACATCAGCGCAAATCTGTGTATACGGGGAATGAACAGATTCCTTCGAATGATATAAGTAAGAACTGGTGTCCTCAGGGTTGCGTCCTTTTCTCCACAATATTCTACTATGACTGGATAATCGTTTGTCTGCACTCATGAATGTACATATCAATCCAGAACATCGTTCTTGAGTATACTGATGTGGTCCTTTTTGCAGTGACGAAATGTAAACAATACGAAATAATGTAGCGACTGCGGCGAGAATCGGACTCAGGGACAATGTAAATGAAACGAAAGTATTTTAATTTTATATACAAGAATTTAATGCCACTTTTTATAAATTCATTGCCGATTGACGAAGTGCTCGATTTTAAATATCTATAGATGCTTGAGACTTCACCAGCTCATCGTTTAGTGCCATTTTGCTATTTTGATATTTCTGAATGTTTCGATTTTCGTTCAAAAGAGTGGCTTTCGCCCACCAAATCCTACCCGCATTTTTTCCGGCTGGTGTACAGTCTTATTGGACTTGGGGTAAAAATTCCAACATTTGAGGAATTTCCGAGTCTTAATATCAGCAGCCTCCTTCTTTCCTACTATGCCAGCTGTGTAACTGATAATTGGCAGGATTCATATTTATTGGATGGATTTTGTTCTTCCCTCTGAATTGGCTGTTCAGGATTTGTCGTGTTATTTATGTGTTGCACTCGCTCTTGCCTCGTCATCATGATTGCCATGTGACTACGGAGTGTTAAGGTAATTATAGCTAATCTGCAGGGCTTGCAATATGTCCTGATAGCAGGTCCACTTAATTAGTCATTACTACTTTTTTTCTCTTTTCTACCATCGAGTCACATTCCTTTAATCCAAACGAATTTTATCGTTGCTATAGATCCGAATTAGATGGAAGAGCCAATTAATGTCTTGTTCATTTTTTACAAATAACTTGATGTCATCCATATGAAAAAGATAGCTTTAGGCTCTCCTGAAATTGTATCCATATCCATTTTTCATGGTTATCTTTGGGGAGGCAATGCACCAGCTTGATATATGCTGCATTCAATAGCCACTTGTGTAAATGAACGTCTTTGAGATCTTGTTGATTTTGTATAGTATGTAGGGCATTATACGCTTTCCTATAGTCAATCCATGCTGCACACAGATTAGTCTGCTGAGGTTTTAAGTCCAGAGTGATTGTCTTATCTATTAGCAGCTAGTATTTGGAGCCTCTGGTGTTGTTACCAACGACTTTTTGAACTGTACTGGCTTATATGATGATGAACCTTGATGTTTGTGACCCCTATGATAGGATATAAGATATACATTGTGGAGAGGCAGATTATTGGGCAGTATTTTCCCTTATGATGGTATGTCATGATCAATATCATCCCTCCTTATGTTGATCAGTCTGGATGAAAGCCTGCCATAAGCCTCTGGTCCAGCTATGTTACTAGACGCTTATGAACCATTTTTAACTTTTTTAGCTGATTAACTTATATATATATATATATATATATCGAGTTTTTCATGTCAATTCATGTCAATTAAAGAACTAAAAACAAGGAACTGCCGCTCAACAGATTCATGTTGCTGCTACTCATTATGGTAGGTGATATAAATTTATGTAAAATATCATCATCTATAAATAAGAAAAAAAAATAATGGCAAATCAAACGTTATTTTTTTCATGAAGATTGTGTCATTTACCGTAAATACAAATTTTCAGCGGTACACACTGGTAAAATAGGCTGAATGACTAGCAAAATCAATAAAATAAGTGAGACTTGGTTGCAATCTTAGACAGTAGATGGCGCATCTTGGTTAAGTTTAGTAGCAGATAACCTCTCCACTCCAATCGGTCTTTCATGTACCTACCTCGTCGTCATAACTCTCCTGAGTTGTGGATGGTGAAATATATATATATATATATATATTAGTGTGGATATGGCTGACTTACGCAGTTCGTTTATTCCTTTCCTTTCTTTGATTGGGACTAATACAGGTCGGGCGTTCTAGATCCATTGTTGTTGTTTTTCTTCTTCTAACAGCTCCATTTTTCACCATTATTGATTAGGCTGATTCTGCAAGCTACAAGGGTAAGACGTCTCCGATCTGCTCGATCTGACGCCATCCCTAATAGTAACAGAAGCCATTCTTTTTTCCATGGTCTAAGCCCATATATCGCCAGTCTCCCATACATTTAAAATTTTTCTGTAACTGTATCACCCCAGGTCTTGGCTGGCTCTTCTCGCTTTTGACGCCAACCATCACAGGGTTTATTTATTCCTTTCCTGTGGTGGATGAGGGAGAACTCTAACCAGCGAAGGTGACTCTCTGTAATAAGATTATTAATACAGGTGGTATTTGAGCGAAGATGGATATAATCATGTGCGATTACGATTTTATCCGCTCGACAGATCCATTGTTGACATAAAGATCATTGAGAAATTTCTGTAATACATTTTAAAATATATTTACTATTCCCAAATCTTTTAGCTTAAAAGTACAATTTTCATTGTCATTTTCATGCAAACCTTGGCTGGAAGCATAATCGGTCAACATTGCAGTTTCAATGCTGCGAACAACCTAATGCGAAATTTTTCCAGCATCATTTAATCTGAACACAATCAAACCGAAATGTTGGTTATCAAGAATGTTCCATGAAACTATAGGCTTTCTCTTATGCCAATATCATATATAGTGCAAAAGGTGTAAAAGGTTCATGCTCCTCGTCAAAGCGAAGAAGACTCTCTCTATTTGTCTAACGGATCTGGCTACACCTGTGTTTCAACTGGATTGTAGCTATGCCACCTTTTGGAGATGTTTTTGGCAATTGAAATTGTGCATAATTTATCTTGGTGATGGAATATTCATTGATATTGATGATATCACAGAGCTCTCTCAAGTAAACTTTCACTATCAGCCATTAGTTAGCAGGCCTCTACAATCATAGATCGTTGAGTTTATGAAATATGACATTTGCCATTTCACCCGAATTCTGTACCATTGCAGTAATAAATTTAGTATTTTGAGCTAAGTGCGATAATTGCTTGGATTGATGAAAACAGTTAGGAAGGCACTATCTGGAAGATCCAAATATTACATGTATAAAATGTGATTACAGCTTGATTCGCATAAGAGTTCTGACGTCTCACTCAGCGACAGCTAAGGCTTCGTGACGTATACAAAAATTAATCACTGCTCGACTTCCTCAGGAGATTTTGAACTTTTACTTTGGTTCCAAATCTTATACAATTCTTTATTATTTTTTCCTTCATTTAGTTTGTTTTGATTATTTATCGTAGGTTTAAACTGGGCAGCTCTGGTAAAAAATAGTTCTATTCACATAACATGGGCTATTTTCTTTTTTTTTAAATTATAGAAGCAACGATGTCAAAGAAATAAGAGAAAACTTTTTAAAATATCATAGGATGCATGAATATCGACCAAATTCATTTATTTTACTGAACTCCGATTCGTTCTGATTTCGGCACTAATATATTGCTTATCAGTTCGATCAGATCAACCAAAGCACCATGCTTCGGTCATATGTCATCCCTTTACCTTCAACTGCACTTTTCTCATGCGTGATTTACCGCTAAATTATTGCTCAATAGATTTTCGTATAATTTTTTTACTAGTGCAATTAAAATTTTGTATAAAAAAGTGATACTTTAGTAAAATCATAGTTAACTGCTAAAGAAGAAATTGTTTAAGAATTTTTTTTTTGCTTTTCAGGAAATTCATTGGTTGTATTGAATTATTTTGGCAGATAGTCGTATTTAGACTTTCTCGTTGCAACTTTTTCATTCTTTCTGATTTGTTGCGCTTTTGAGGCGAATCATTTTTAAAAAAATTGGCTCATTTCGATAAGGAAATTTTTTTCCTTGAGACTGTGCAACAAAGAAGGCTTAGATTTGGATCACTCGTGGTTAGCCTGGTTCGTTAAACAAAAAATAAATTGCGTAAAAACAAGTTAGACCCAAGTTATAACTTAATTAGACCCAAAAGAACAGAACAAGTCACCAAAAAATTACATTAAATCAAAATCATAACAAACAGTTTTGATCCAAAAAAAAGAGATGATGGAAAAACGCTTTTTAAAATTATTTGTCTTGTATAAGCCGCTGAATTTATTTTTGAGCACAAGGCGTTCGACTTATGATAAGTAATACCAGGATGCCTTAATTTATTCAAGAATTTTCTTCGAGTTAAACATATTAAATCACTTGTAAATCGTCAACAAAAACTGAAAATTCGAGAAATTCCGGCTGGCGCTTCAAAGTTCAGATTCATAAATAGATTACTTTCGGACATCACCTTCAGAAAAATTATTCTTATTGGATATTTTGTCAAATCTTTTCGACATTAATGATGCTGTGGATTTAAACTCGAACTCAAAATAAATTTTCATGGCAATGTACCACTCAATTAGGATATAGGTGCTCGTTACGATTGAATTTTAAGAAACAATAAATGGCCTAATTAAATTAATGTTAGCTGTATAAACTGTATACCTTTTAGTTATTTACCCTTGTACCCATCGCTATTACCATTTTTCACTCTTTCTGTTTCTGTGCAAATTTTCTTGTATTACGATTTTGCAGCGAATTGCCATAAAGATATCGACGAGTAACAATAGAGTAACTTTAAGTTTTTGAAATGAAATATTTGATAACTTATAGACGATTTTATTTCCACATTTAAATAAAAGTTACCAATCATTTTATAGACCCATCTTCACCTATTTCACTTACAAGAAGCAGATTTTTTTTCAAATTTTTAAAAACATGCTTAAGGAGTCGACTTATCATCTTCTTCAAGCAGTCAGCATCTTTACTGATTGGCCCTTGCACCCAAACTTCGTCCAAACTTCCCGATCCCGTATCACATTTAAGAATAGTTAGAATTACCTTTTCATGGCTTATATATTACTTGGTCACCTATATGTTAATAAATAATGCTTAATGTATTTTTAGAATAATTCGATAAATTGATGTGAACGCTGATTATTAATCAATGCAAGAAATTTTATTTTTCAAAAATCTAGCTGGAATTTCTATAATCAAAAAAGGCAAAAAGTATTTTTTAAACGAGAATAAAGATGAATAAAACAATTTTAGAAAGAATAAATCTGTATAATTTTTATTATTCAAAAAATTTTTCTACTGAGCTGCTCTTTTGCAGACAATATTCGAGGGATTACGCCATAATTGGCTGCAACCAGCATCGTCCCATTGGCCAGCAGCATTAGCGTAGTTTACAAGTACACACGTAACATCTCCTCCACAACATCCGTCAGGTTGGCTTCGGCGCCAATTGGTGTAGGTTGCTGGTGCTCCATTTTGCCACAACCATATTGCTCCAGCTTTTCGTAACCCAATCCAATAAGCACCACCACCAACCAAACCATTAATGAATGTGTTTTCAGCATCTGATAATACCGATGCAACAGTCCCACCACGTGCTGTGCATTCGATAAGTGCTCCTATATAGTTATACGGACCGCGACCCTTAATTTCAGAATTTTACCTTGTCAAACCTTTTTTCGCCCTAACATCTCAAACTTTGCTTTTAAAGTCACGTTCTTGTTTTTTAAAGAATCTTCTTAGGAATCTCATTTTGCAACAAAATTATTATATAAATATTCATAATATAATCAACATTAAAGAAACTAACAACAAAATAGCATGCACTGAACTGTGTGTTCATTGTCCATCCAGTCGGACATGCTGAATAACTTCTTCATATACAAAAATGAAATGTCAAATGAAATGAAATAATCTAGTATATTACAAACCTGGTGGTAGCAAAGGATTTCGAACACACTGATTGCTAACACACACTGAATTTGGTGGACAAGTGGCCCCAGGGCATCCTGGAAAATAAATTTATAGAAACAATTCCAAACAATTGATCAAAAATTCAATTTTTTACCTCTATTATCGACTAAGCAAGTTCCAAGGAAACAAAATTGAAATACATCGCATTGGGTATCATTAGTACATGCTGAAATAGTTCCTCGATCAAAACTTATGGTTTCTATGGAATTTGATAATTTAACAATAATCTACTGTAATGCAGAAAAATAAATATTTCAGCTTTTTTCAATATTCAGCATATTTGTACTAAAATTTTAAAAATATTTTTTGACGGATTATAGAATAATAGAGATCAAATATTAAATGAATCCAAAATTAATTATTGTATATTTTATAAAAGCTTTTCTTGAAATTTTCTACGACCTAAAGTCGAGTAGATGTTCACTGATATCCGGTAAACTTAAAATCTCAAGTACTGTTCACACATTTCGCAACGGTAAAAAAATTTCCACAAAAAAATAATAGAAGGCTTACGTCGATTTAATGTACCTTGCGCTCCACAATTATCAATCGCCAACGCAAATAAAATTAGGAGAAGCATCATTAGATATTTATTTTCACTAAAGAACCTATTTAGATCATTCACTGACGACTATTTATACTAAAATTGCATGTGCATCCCTAGTGGTCGACAAAAATATCGTTTGTCATGCTCGCATAATTCTCTAATCAGATTCAACGGAAATTTATCAAGTTCAAATACCGTAATTTATTTACAATATTTATTATGAAGAGAAACCATGAATAATTTTAAAAATACTGATTTGAATTGATCCAAATTTGATCAAAATTAATAGGATCAGGATAGCCTAAAACCTTAGGCCATAATTTCACTGAAGCAAAAATCAACCCTATACAACAAGAATAAACGTGAAATTTGGCTGGTAGTGCGAGCTTTCTCTGAACTGATTCTTTGAAGAAAGCGCCTCATCCTGATAAAAGCCATACTAAAACGGAAATGGCGAGAATATGTCAGAAGAATTTAAAACCAGTCTTATAATATTAATAACTTTTATTCACAGGAACAGCTCTTCTTTTTCTTTCAGCACTCATGTCTTCTAGTCGATTGTTGGAATGATAAGCCAAGAATGAAAATATAGGTTGGTACTATGCACGGTTCATCGTTCGATTACATTTATTTAGAATTATATATATATAATCTAATATGATATATAATATATATAATAAAATATTATATATTATCATATCATATTATTATTATTAGTATTAGATTATATTTATTATATTTATTTATTTATGTAAGACCTTATGAAATTATAAAGCAAATTATGAATTAGAATTACTCTGGCAAATAATTTGAAATCAAAATTTGCTGATTCTTTTCTTAATTTTCGTTTATTAGGGAGAAACACATCGTTAAAATATGACAATTAGTATAATCAGTGAATGCCAACTTTGCAAGCTGTATTTGGATACAGCAAAATGCAAAAGAGATGGTGAGAAAAACGGTGAACCGTGCATCAGAACTGGACAAAAAGAAAAGTGGGCCAGGGCCCAGAGGTTTGTATTTCATGTGTTTCAAAGGGTGACAAAATCATTCGATTAAGCACAACTTTTATTTATAACGATGGCAGAAACCCTAAGCCTCGTTATTTTTTCTTGTATTATCAGTTATCAGCTACCTCTCCTCATCGATACGACTTTCTGCCAAAGCAGTAAAGATTTTAATGCGATTCTTTGACTTCAAAATAAATCGATCACATTGATAATTTCTTGAAAAATTTTCAATGAAGATATAAACTCAAATAATTATCAAAATTTAGCGAAAACATTAAGTGCATTGTGATAAATTTCTTAATATTTTGCCATACAAACAAATGCAGTGAAATGCTTTATGTTGGATGCTGAAAATGGTAATTTCTTTGGTGTTTGGTTCACATTTTATTGTATTTTAATTTTATCTGTTTATTAATCCTTATGCACTACGATAGATTTTTTTTTATATTCAAATATGGAAAAAAATCAATGCAACGCGTTTAAAAAATTGTTCCTCTGGATACAAGGTGCATATACTCCATTTCCGTTCACGATTGGAACGAATCTCTCATTAAGAACAGCGCCCATATGGTCCTCTGGGAGCAAAACCCTTCTATTGTCAGGATACCTTCATAATTGCTAGTGGGGTCAGTTGAACAATAACAATACGTGCTCTCTTCGATTCAAGCAGATTTCTCAACCTGGTACGACCATCGCACGATTCTACTTGCCAACGCATTAACGAGCGTGACCACTATAAAAAGTGGCCTATCCTAGTCGAGATCCACCTGAATAATCAGAACAATGACAAATTAATTAATTCAGGCACCGACTAGAACCATCGCCGGCATAAATGCCAATTATCTTTAAAAAAATTTAAATTGGCGCGCCAAAAATTTTCCTTTTAAGACCTAAGCGTTTCAGATACCGTGATTGGGTTTAAAAGAGTTTCAAGGGAGGGGGGTCAGTGGGGGGTTTGGATAAAGTTGGGCTCAGGCGAAATTATGAGAGGGGAAGATTTAATAAGTTTGGATATGAAATATTATTATTCGGTCGTTCTAAGTGAGCAACTCTTTCAAAATTTTAATTTCATTTCTAACTGCAATATTTCGTATTTTCTGTATTTTATGGTTTTTCCATCAACAAATATTTTCTATCAGATCTTTGGATCTTTTATTTCTTACTGGATAATTCACGTATTTCGCGGGATGGAATGGCTCATTGGCTTATTGCTCGTACGCGAGCGCCGCGTACTTCTCCCCCGGGAGAGTAGATCCGTCTTTCAAAAATCCGAGTTGTCTTGGACTTGCAGTTTCACTTGCACTTGCACGTTTCAAATGTCTCACCGAAAGAGGTTGTCTCGTTCGATAAGCAGTGGTGCGAGTCTAACTAAATGGTATCTTGGAGATCTTCGCTTATAGTTTTACAAAAAAATATTTTTATTAGTTGAATACAAAACTGTTCTTTCCTGTCTGTGTTAATTCAGGTCTCCATTGGCCTTTTTGACTACATCCATCATAGATTTCAGTAAGTAGCGAGATTTGCATGGCATAACAAATGCAGACGTTTTAGATCGATTCCGAAGAAGAGAGAAATTTGCCAGAAGGGCTCTAACTGAAGCTAATTGAATTTCACCTTTTGCTAAGGAATTTGGTATGAAAATAGGTTCCAGGTAATTCAGGACCTTTTTTTGGAACCGTTGGTGAATTCATAGGAAATGCTGTCTTATTAGCATCTGGTATGATGAAAAGAGTTTTTATTTACATTACATTAGCTTAAATTTATGATCTAATTGCGATGCAGTAATTCAACACTTTAAAATGGGATGTATCAAAGAAGCATAGTAGAGTTAGCAAATTGGCAAATTTAGGCAAATGTATAGTGAATCATAATATAAAACTATTCGAGGTGCGTTAAAAAAATTTAGTTGTGATTTTAATTTAAAGGTGAAATAGCGAGAGGTAGAAATATCGATCTGAAAGGATTTTGCAATCTTTTATATTTCCTTCGCTCGATTATCATATTTGCAGTTGTTGCAGCGTTCCCCATTGCCAGAGTTTGTTTATATTGCAATAGTTTATATTGCAACTTCCCCTAAATAATAATTCTTTCCTTTTTTCATCTTTAAACTGCTAAAATCACAACTAAAATCGAATGGCAAAAGCAAAGAAACCATACTGAGAAAAAAGTGGAAAATAAAATTAATAATGCCATAGCCGCAGCTCTCTTCACTTCTCCACTATAGTTGGATTTCGTTTTAATGCTATGCCTAAGCTTGGATTTCATTTTTTTTTTAAAGAGCTCTGATCATTACTCCGTTAGAATTGCTGAATTGCTCCTTGCTTGTATCCTTGGTGATATAAGTACAGGTGAATCACCAGCATCACCCGGATTTCTAGACAGGTTTACTTCTGTGGGGAGTAGAACCTCAGCATCGGCGCTCCGGATTGACCAACAACCCACTGAGCCATTCTACTTGGATTTCATTAATATTTTGCAATTCAGTTACTTATTGTGCCGGAAGTTTTTACTGAAATTAATATCTTTTTTTTTACGGCTGAACGATATAGAGGTGAGCTAAATTGAGTTGAGTTAATTACAAACTGAAATAATTCACCATCTGGATTTCTGATTTTAATGCCAAGTTTATCTTTATCGATGGAATAAAAATGATAGAATAAAAGTAGGTTCTAGCATGTCTTGAAGAATTCTGACTCCACAGTCCATTTGAACCAGTGAAATTACCTACAATACTTTTTCTCAAATTTTGCTTGCAGATAATAATGATGATTTCAAAAGATGTGCTCGATTTTTCATCAGTATCGTCTACAAAAACTATATTGAAAAATGGTCCGAAATATCGCAGTTCGACATCATTGACTAAGAGAACGCCTGGAAGCGCATCGATATCTTTCAAATCTTATCATATCATTTGTGAGTCGTTTTTAAAGCCAGTAATATTGACAATTGTCTATCGAATATCAGTTTAGTGGATGTGGATGTCTTTGAGATATTTTCTCTTCCTTTTTCTTATGGCAGTGGATGAAAGCAGGTCCTAAATAAACTGAGTGCAGGACAAGGGTACATAAAAGTTCACTCCAAGAAGAGGATATCGCTTTAAATATCAGTAATCCAATGTCATATGTTTAATCAATTTTTTTTATTTATTTTGCCACTCCCTTCAGTTAAAGTTAGAATGATGCCCTGAAGAGATCTAAAAGAATGACAATACTCCAAATAATACTATCCGACTTATTAAAGTTTTTTAAAAGCATAAATCAATTTATGTAAATTGGCATATCCTTTCGAAACAGTAAAATTGATTATGCATACCACTTATCACTTATCTACACTCAAGAAGTGCAAACTAATATGGAAGAGAGAATATGAAAAGAGAGAGAGATCTGGAATTCTTCTATTTGTAAATAACACTGGCTCATTTTACTGGCGACTAATAAAGCGTTTCCAAGCTGCTTTGTTTTGCTCTGAGGTCATTCTTGAAAGTTAATAAACTTTTTTATACCGTATCCTATATAGCTTATATATCAAGGAGTTATCTATGTGTTCAAAATCTATCTTGAGATATGACCAAACCAGCGTAGGCGAGCTTTATGACAATGTTAATGCAGATAGTACTCAAGGAGAGGTGATCCGGGTTGTGTTTTTCATTTCATAAGTTTTCTCGGAATTTATCAGAGCTGAATTATTCTATTCATCTTTTGCCTGACAATTAGGTTGTAAGAATTTATCCGAAGTATTTATAGCTTAACACTTCCTTTGCTGAATTTATAAAAATTATACTATATTATATTATACTATCTGGTATATTTATTTATTTATTTATTTATTTATTGCTAACCAACCAAGGCGACAAGGCCATGTGCTTGTATTAATAATAACAATTAAGATAACAAAAAAAGAAAACACAAAACAACAAAAAAAAAAAAAAATATAACATAAACAAAATTAATTATAAAACAATATGACAATTTAAAGAGGAAATTAACAATTAGAAATTAACAATTTAAAGAGGAAATTACAGATCAATATAATATAGTACAATTCAAGGTAACATATATAACCTGAAGATAAAATCGAGATTTCTCACTTCCTGCAGTTCTTGCCTGGTGTAAACTCTTCTCTTTTTTT